CTCATCTCCCTATACTGAAGCCGTAGTTGACAAGTCCCACTGCATGTGCACCAAGGTTCTCAATAACTTAAAATGAATGTCACAGTCTTCCATAATAGCAAACATCCAAGCTTCATCACACATTTTAGAAGGTCTATAACATGAAGTCCTGCCAGTACTAACAGAACAAAGCCACTTGGAATCAGAAACTATGCAAGGCCATTGGAAACTTGCCCCTCCAAATGAATGAGTGAATGAATGTCTCCGAGAGTTGAAAAAGAGATTGTATCCTTGAAAGAAAGAACAGTGTGCTGTTTAAAATTTTTTTAAAGAAGCCTTGGAAATTTAAAATATGGTAGAAGCCTGGGCATAGTGGCTTGCACCTATAATCCCAGGACTTTGGAAGGCTGAGGAGGGAAGATCGCTTGAAGCCAGGAGTTTGAGACCAGCCTGAACAACATAGTGAGACCCTGTCTCTACAAAAATGTTAAAGTTAGCTGGGCATGGTAGCACATGCCTATAATCCCAGCTACTCGGGAAACTGAAGCAGAAAGATCGCTTGAGCCCAGGAATTTGAGGTGCAGTGAACTATGGTGCATCACCACACTCTAGCCTGGGTGAGAATGCAAGATCCTGTCTCAAAAATATATATATACATATATACAATAACCATACGTACATTTATGTGTATATATATGTATGTCTATATATTTATGTGTGTATATCTATATATACGTGTGTGATAGAAGAAATGAAAAACTTAATAGAAAGGATGGAAGATAAAATTGAAGCCATTGCTCAAAAAGAGTTTAGCAGCCAGGCAGAGTGGTAATCCCAGCACTTTAGGAGCCCAAGGTGGGAGGATCACTTGAGACCAGCCTGGGCAACATAAGGAGACCCTGACTCTACAAAAAAAAAAAAAAAAAAAAAAAAAAAATGGCCAGGCGCACTGGCTCACGCCTGTAATCCCAGTACTTTGGGAGGCCGAGGCAGGCAGATCACGAGGTCAGGAGATCAAGACCATTATGGCTAACACGGTGAAACCCCATCTCTACTAAAAATACAAAAAATTAGCCAGGTGTGGTGGCACGTGCCTGTAGTCCCAGCTACTTGGAAGGCTGAGGCAGGAGAATCTCTTGAACTCAGGAGGTGGAGGTTGTAGCGAGCCCAAATTGCACCACTGCACTCTAGCCTGGGTGACAGAGCAAGACGCCGTCTCAAAAAAAAAAAAAAAAAAAAAAATAGAGTTTTGGTTTTTTTAATGGTGCTAGAAAATAAGAGAGAAATCAGGCAAAAAATATATTAACTGAATTACAAACACCCTAGAAGAGAACTGAAAAATAAAGAGAAAATCGTCAAAAATTTTTTGATAAAATTTCTCAAAACTGAAGGTAATGAGTTTCTAGATTCAAAGCATCTGGTAAAGTACCCAACACAATGGATAAAAAAAGTCCCACAGCAAGGCACATCATTAGTGATGTTTCAGTGCACAAGAAGATGCTAAAAGTTCCAGAGGGGAGACAAAGAAACAGGTCACATACAAGGACAAAATCAGAAGGGCAACAACAGAAACAGACATAGAACAATGCCTTTAGAATCTGAAAGAAGATATTTTCAGCTTAGAATTCTGTGGCTACCCAAAAATCTCACGTGTAAAGATAGAATAAAGACATTTTATGATATATAAGGTCTTACAAAGTTTACTTCCTAAGCACCCCTTTTCAGAAACCTACTGGAAGAGGAAAGGTACTTCAATGAAACAAGGAGTAAACCAACAAAGAGGAAGACTGAGGTTCCAGTTTAAGTCAGGTATAGAGAATCTCCAGGATAAGGAAGTGTGGTCCTATAATGTCAGCTATTCAGCAGATCCAGAGAGCAAACAGCTGGAAGATATATGCATAGGGATATTTTTGAAGGATGCACAAAAAACTGTTAAGAATAGTTACCTTAGAAGTAAAATGGGAGGGCAAAAAAAGGAGCACTTTTCCTTTTTCCTTTATATTTATATAATATTTGGATCCTTACTACAGCACGTATTATTTCTTTTGTTTTGTTTTGTTTGTAGCGACAGAGGTCTTGCTTTGTTGCCCGGGCTGGTCTTGAACACCTGGCTTCAAGGAGGAGTTTTGCACCCAGGCTTTTTTTTTTTTTTTTTTTTTTGACAAAAGGTCATGCTCTGTCACTCTTTAACTTTTTATTTTTTTTTCAAGCCATTCAAATGTAATAGTGGGTTTTTGTTGTTGTTGTTTTTTAAAGAAAGAGGGCTGGGCTCAGTGGCTCACACCTGTAATCCCAGCACTTTGGAAGGCTGAGGCGGGTGGATCACTTGAGGCCAGGAGTTGGAGACCGAGGTGGGTGGATCACTTGAGGCCAGGAGTTGGAGACCTGCCTGGCGAATATGGTGAAACACTGTCTCTACTAAAAATACAAAAATTGCATACCTGTAATCCCAGCTACTCGGGAGGCTGAGGCACAAGAATCACTTGAACCTGGGAGGGGAAGGCTGCAATGAGCTGAGATTGTGCCACTGCCCTCTAGCCCGGGTGACACAGTGAGACTCTGTCTCAAAAAGAAAGAAAAAACTATGCTGTCTTCAAAGGAGCATCTCCACTGGAGATGCTTAACTTTTGTGTCATGACGACAGAATTTTCCTTTTCTTCAGAACTTGCAAAAGAATTTTGCTAGGAAGTATTTATATCCTCTAGCCAACCTTCCTTGGTAATTCTAGGCTTACACTTCCTCACTACAGGAAAAGAACTTGGGAAGGAATGTCTTTTGAGCAAGGAGGACCCAAATGCTCTCCTAGAATATAAATCCCCCTCCCCCATTTCATTATTAAACTTTCCATAAATGTGGGGCAAAGGAAGGTTTCTTTTGGATTTCTGAGCTGCAGCAATCCTCTTTTTGCAAGGGTCCTTCCATAAGAGCTTTCTTTGCCTCACAACCTTGATTACCAATAATTAATCTCAGATGAAAGATTCAGTGCTACAAGCTTCCTCTGTCTTTGACTTAGAGAACATGCTGAGAATTGTTTGCTTGCTTGCCAGAGATCTTATCTTGACCCAGAAGAGCTGATAGGACCATAAAATCAGCATTGATCTTTCCTCAGTATTCCTTCTCTACAAAGTGAGGGGGTACGACATCTTAGCCTAGGACAAATGTGAGATTTAACATATATCAGGAGGGGAAGTGGGGAGGAGGTTGATTGTCATTCAATAACGGCTATATTTCATAGTCGTAAAATTTAAAGAACTCTGTAGTGTGTTCTAATTCCCATGCTTTCTTTGCTGTTTCTCAATGTATTTGGATAAATCACTACAGAGCAACAAAGCCAAAATGTCCAAACCACCCACTTTCCTATTCCCAGCACATGAATTAGAGAGAGCCAACTGAGATCTGGGCCAACCACTTAGATGACTTGTATGTCTGATTTTTGTTCCATGATATGAAACTCAAAATAAATCAAAAAGAAAATTTTTTTCAGATACCAGCTAATTCACACAAAAAAGTCTTCAGCCTTTTAGTCCTTGCACATATGCAAAGCTGATAAACAAACCTACTCTGAACACAGATAACAAGGATTTAGAAGTTAATTCCTACCGGCACAGATACTCCTGTATAGCAGTCTTACTGAACTTCTGTGTTTAGTTTTAGGCTCTAAAACTTGAGTGAAATCTGAAGAAATTTTTAAGGTCCAAAAGGAATTGGGAAAGACTTGGAAAACAGGACCTTTGAAGAAAGTTTATAGGAGACAGAATTTGAGCTTAGAAAACAATGCGTGTGATTGAAAAGAAACATGTGAATAGCAAACAAAGATAGAATAAGAGGAAATTAATATAAATGGTAGAGGAGGCTATTTAGTTTTGAGGTTAAGGGTAAACTTTCTGACTGAAACTTGTTAAGCCCAAAAATGAACAGCCAGGCCAGGTACGGTGGCTCACGCCTATAATCCCAGCACTTTGGGAGGCCGAGGCGGGTGGATCACTTGAGGTCAGGGGTTCAAGAGGAGCCTGGCCAACATGGTGAAACCCTGTCTCTACTTAAAAAAAAAAAAAAAAAAAGAGTAGCTGGGTGTGGTGGTGGGTGCCTGTAATCCCAGCTACTCTAGAGGCTGAAGCAGGAGAATTGCTTGAACCTGGGAAAAAGAGGTCACAGCGAGCCGTAATTGCGCCACTGCATTCCAGCCTGGGCGACGGAGCAAGACTCCGTCTCAAAAAAAAAAAAGAACAGCCAAAGGAATGTTGTAGAGCTCAAGCTACAAAGACATGGAGGTTGCAGTAAGTTCACTTAGTGCATGAAATAGCATTCTTGGATACAGATGTTTACAGATAAAGATGTTTAACAGTAGTATCTCCCTAATACCACAAACCTGATATTCCAAGCAATTGGCAGAGAAATGAATCCATTCAGCACAAATTTGGCCCCTCTACATGGCCTCAGCACCTTAAATTTGGTTCACTTACCAGAAGACAGAATGTTCTGTTTAGAAGCAGGACCCGATCCCAGGATAGGGTGAACTGCATAAACGGAGGCGCAATGAGAAATGATAAAAGTCTAAGAGGTTCTACAAAAGAGAAATCTTTTTCTGGGCCTCATTACCAGTTATAGACATTTTTAGAAAAGGAAGGGGAGAATAGATGCAGAACACATCTAAAAATGAACAAAGATATGGTAATTTTAAGAATGGAGGTTGTTTACAGGGAGAGGAAATTGGTTTGTATAACTAGATTGATCCAAAAATTACCTTGCCTTTATAATATACCTTTCTGTTAAGGAGATACAACGTTTTCTCTTGCCAGATAAAGACAGAGTCTCTTCCTTTTGTAAAAGAACATCACCAAATTACAAGGAAGTTTAAGTCACACTTTGAGTTGCTGGCAAACCCAGGATAAACCCCCAGGTTTTCTCCTTTTGGCTAGCCTAAATACTGGTACAGAGTCATTCTTGCATCAATGTGAAACATTTATTTTTTGCCTGGGCTTCTGTTTTAACCACTAACCTTCATCTCTCCTGTCCTGTAGCTGGGATGAAAGCAGCTCCATCAGCAGTGGACTCAGCGATGCCTCAGACAATCTCAGTTCAGAAGAATTCAATGCTAGCTCCTCACTCAACTCCCTCCCAACTACTCCCACTGCTTCTCGCAGGAACTCAACAATAGTGGTACGTGAGTTTGCAAACATCCAAACTGCCATCTCAAGATGAACCACAGGGCAAACGGCATTGTCTGTGTATGGGTTTGCACATACACACCCACTCCAAGGGATTGGTTCTCATAGGCCTTTGGCCAGGTCATTTTAGAGCTGCCCCCACCCTCTCCCAAAAAAAAAGCTAAGGCTACTCACAAGACATCAGATGTTGTCATATTGTCTATACTTAGTGCCTACACCAATCTAGAGTGATACATGCAAGAGCTATTCCAACTGGAGAAGAAAAAGAAACCCAGAGATACATGCCATCTGTTGTTGGAAACCCTAGGGATATAGGTAGAAACCCTCAGTTGACGTAATACTCTGGGATGAGCAGAGCCAGGTACTAACTAAAATCAATCCTGTCAGTTATCCAGTCCCCCATTTGCATGTAAATATCTCACCCTGCCTTTTTCTCTTTTCTTTAGCTACGCACAGACTCAGAGAAGCGCTCACTGGCAGAAAGTGGGCTGAGCTGGTTTAGTGAATCAGAGGAGAAGGCCCCTAAAAAACTGGAGTACGACAGTGGTAGCCTGAAGATGGAACCTGGGACTTCTAAGTGGCGGAGGGAGCGGCCTGAGAGCTGTGATGATTCATCCAAGGGTGGAGAACTGAAAAAGCCCATCAGCCTGGGACACCCTGGTTCCCTGAAGAAGGGCAAGACCCCACCTGTGGCTGTAACTTCCCCCATCACTCACACTGCCCAGAGTGCCCTCAAAGTCACAGGTGAGCCTGGGATAAAGGAAGGTACAAGGGCAAAGACCTAGTTCTTTGGTTGCTCCTCTTCTTAGTGGTCATTAACCCATAGGATGATAGCAAACATGTGCATAGTGCTTTAACATACATTATCTTATCTGGTCTAAAAACAGTCCTGTGAGTTAGGAAAGATGGGTGTTATTATTTCCATTTTACAAATGTGGAAGAAACAGAAACTCAAAGAGGTTAAGTGACTGGGCCAAAATCCCAGTTAATATGAGGTGCAGGAGGGAGTATATTATGTTTAGAGACTAGTTTGACCTCCTTCCAAACGCTTCCAATGCTTTCTTCTTTCTCCCAAGTTAGTCACTCGAGGTACTTCTCTTCATAAGATATTGCTTGACATCTCAGGAAGATCCTAAGAAAACAATAAATAAAGTGGCTACAGCAAGAGAGTTATAGTGCCCCCAAAGTTGGCCCCTTGGGTAACTTTTAGCCTTAATCAACATTTTCCTCAAGTCTCTAATTGCCAAGAGATACTGTCATACTCTATTCCATTTGCTTCCCCTCCTTTTTTTTTTTCCCCTTCCACAACCAGTTGTTAGATGGATATTCTTGATCATCTTTGTGTTTGCCTCTGCCATTTTATTCAAAATGGACCATTCTACTCTGGGAGCAAAACAAAAAAAAATTCCTAGCCTCCCCACACCTCCCAGCCAAAGTCTTTCAGACAGGAAACTTTATCAGCTTATCTTGTACCTGTTTACCCATATTTAGGCCTCTAAAATTCTACAATGTTCCCTTCACCCATGGAGGGAAAGAAAAGGATGGTTTTTTAAGATACTGCTCAGTTTCAGCTTTTATCTCATTTCCTGTCCTCTTGCAGGCAAACCTGAGGGCAAAGCTACAGACAAGGGTAAGCTTGCAGTGAAGAATACTGGGCTCCAACGCTCCTCCTCTGATGCTGGTCGGGACCGCCTGAGTGATGCTAAGAAGCCCCCCTCAGGCATTGCTCGCCCTGCCACTTCGGGATCCTTTGGCTACAAGAAGCCTCCTCCTGCCACAGGCACAGCCACCGTCATGCAAACCGGTGGTTCAGCCACTCTCAGCAAGATCCAGAAGTCCTCAGGCATCCCTGTCAAGCCAGTAAATGGGCGCAAGACTAGCTTAGATGTGTCCAACAGTGCAGAGCCAGGATTCCTGGCTCCTGGAGCCCGTTCTAACATCCAGTACCGCAGTCTGCCCCGGCCAGCCAAATCCAGTTCTATGAGCGTGACCGGCGGGCGGGGTGGACCTCGCCCTGTGAGCAGCAGCATTGACCCCAGCCTCCTCAGCACCAAGCAGGGAGGCCTTACACCTTCCAGACTGAAGGAGCCTACCAAGGTAGCCAGTGGACGGACTACTCCAGCCCCTGTCAATCAGACAGATCGGGAAAAGGAGAAGGCCAAAGCCAAGGCAGTGGCCTTGGACTCAGACAATATCTCCTTGAAGAGTATTGGCTCCCCAGAAAGTACTCCCAAGAACCAAGCAAGCCACCCCACAGCCACCAAGCTGGCAGAGCTGCCACCAACCCCTCTCAGGTACCCAATGCGGGCAATCGCCTCCTTGTCTGTTTGCTTTGTCATTCTTTTGCATATCTCTGCCCTCCTTGGACTAGATGAAGCATGGCCTATCCACCATTGTCTCTAGGCCTTTGCATGGCTCTTTCCCACCTCTCCCCTATATGCCATGTTCTGAAAGAATCTTGTTTCTGAAAGTTCTGAAAGACTGAATCCCTCTTTCAAAACTGTATTCAAAACTTAGCTCGTTTGTACTATTCTCTGATCAACTCTTACCATGTCTTCAGCACTTGTATGGGTGATTTTACTGTTTATTTACACATATATACCTATTTGCATAAATTCACTTGTATCTCCCATGTGCATATGCTGGCCCCGTTATCTAAGCTGAATGTGCCCCAAGTTGTGCCCCAAGTCAGATTTCCTTGCGTTGTATTTCACAACAGCATTAGGATAAGTCTCTGTGCTTAGCAAATAGGCAGAAAACAAGACTGGATAGGATTTCTTTAAGGTCCTATCTGCCTCTCAGTCTGTAATTCTGTTATTCTAAATATTTTGTTTGATCTTCTCTCAGGGCCACAGCGAAGAGCTTTGTCAAACCACCCTCACTAGCCAATCTTGACAAGGTCAACTCCAATAGTCTGGATCTACCATCATCCAGTGATACCACCCATGCTTCAAAGGTCCCAGATCTGCATGCTACAAGCTCAGCATCCGGGGGCCCTCTCCCTTCCTGCTTCACCCCCAGTCCAGCACCCATCCTCAATATTAACTCAGCCAGCTTCTCCCAGGGCCTGGAGCTAATGAGTGGTTTCAGTGTGCCAAAAGAGACTCGCATGTACCCCAAACTCTCAGGCCTGCACAGGAGCATGGAGTCCCTCCAGATGCCAATGAGCCTGCCCAGTGCCTTCCCCAGCAGTACTCCCGTCCCCACCCCACCTGCTCCCCCTGCTGCTCCCCCAGAGGAAGAGACGGAAGAGCTGACTTGGAGTGGAAGCCCCAGAGCTGGGCAACTGGACAGGTAGGTAGACAAGACAGCAGAAACTCAACATGTCTCCGTGTCTTGAGCTCATTTTGCCATTGGCAATACTATCCTATATTTTATTGCCATTGTGTGACTTTTGACATTTTTCCCACATATATTAAGTAATTTAATTTGCTTCACAACAACTCTATGAGATAGGTAAGATGTATTTTTGTTTTTAAGTTATTATTATTATATTACAGATGGAGAAACTTGTGCACAAAGAAGTTAAATGACTTATCCAAGATCTCATAATCAGGTTAACCTATCATCCAGAGCTTTTGCTTCCTAGTCCAAAATCCTTTTTTTTTTTTTTTTTTTTTTTTTTGAGATGAAGTTTCGCTCTTGTTGCTCAGGCTGGAGTGCAACGGTACAGTCTTAGCTCACTGAAATCTCTGCCTCACAGGTTCAAGCAATTCTCCTGCCTCAGCTTCCCAAGTAGCTGGGATTACAGGCACTTGCCACCATGCCTGGCTAATTTTTGTATTTTTAGTGGAGACCAGGTTTCACATGTTGGCCAGGCTAGTCTTGAATTCCTGACCTCAAGTGATCCGCCTACCTCGGCCTCTCAAAGTACTGGGATTATAGGCGTGAGCCACCGCGCCTGGCTGCCCAAAATATTTTCTTTTATATCACATCCTAGTTTTCTCCTCCCTTCCCCCTACATGCCAAGGTTATCAAACTACCTATATGGTAGTTTTTACCTACCATAATATGATCTATTTTTTTGTTTTTGAGATGGGGTCTCACTGTGTTGCCCAGACTGGACTCAAAACCCCTTGGCTTAAGCAAGCCTCCTGCCTCAGCCTCCTGAGAGCTGCGACTACACCATAATATGATCTTTTAAATAGCTAACCATGCCTTAATTTCTAATCAGAGAAAAAGCATTTAATATTTCAGATAAATTTCCCAAGTTGTAAGCCAAGAAGCAGGCTATAGCTATCTCTTGGTTTCTAGAGCTAAAGGGAGTCATAGTTTGATGTCCTGCGTCTAGGGTCTACATACCTCACACCAGTGGTCCTAAACTCTAGTTCCTAAGATGGACCCACATGCTTCTCTCTCTTTCTCTTTTTTTTATCTCCACAGTAACCAGCGGGATCGGAACACTCTTCCCAAGAAAGGGCTCAGGTAACCCTTTAATGTGTTTTTTCTTCCCTATAAATGGGACTCCTGGTATGTATTAAAAATCATATCTCAACCTGTCCCAGGCTCCAGTCATGAATTTAGTCATCCTTTTAGCTGAATCATTTGTATGTGGTCCCATACAAGTACCACCTAGCACCCTGCCCAAGCTTAACATTATGTGAGTCAACTTTTACAGTGAGTGTTCTTTTTTTGGTGACAGGGGAGAAACAAGTCTGCACATGGGAGTCCTGCACTTACCTGTACTAGCCTATGCCATCCCAATCCTGGCTGAGCTTCATCTCTGTCATTTTCCTCCCTAAAAGTATGAGAGAGAACAGCCTGCCTCTTTGGTCACTCAGCTGGGCTAGGGGCAGGACCTACCTGGTCATCCATTGTTCTGACAGCATTGAGTTGTTATTTGGGTGGCAACTATTGCAACTTTTTTTTTTTTTTAGATGGAGTCTCACTCTGTCACCCAGGCTGGAGTACAGTGGCACAATCTCAGCTCACTGCAACCTCCACCTCCCAGATTCAAGTGATTCTCCTGCCTTAGCCTCCCGAGTAGGTGGGGTTACAGCTGTGCACAACCATGCCCGGCTAATTTTTGTATTTTTAGTAGAGATGGGGGTTTCACCATGTTGGCCAGGCTGGTCTTGAACTCCTGACCTCAAGTGATCCACCCATCTCAGCCTCCCAAAGTGCTGGGATTACAGGCGTGAGCCACTGTGCCTGACCGACTCTTGCAACTTGAGAGCCCACACGTGGAATCATAAGACTCTGTCCTGAACTTCTGAGAAGTTCTAATGCCTCCTCCATCATTTCTGCCCCCACCTCAGGAACCCTCACAGGAATACCTGCTAAGCCTTCCACACCCTCTGGATGGTCTGGGAGAGGAGGCTGAGTCGCCACCTCTTCCTCCCTCCTTGAGCAGCCCTGACCACTTTCTCTTTTCCATGTCCTGCTTTCAGAATCTCCTGGCTCCAGCCTAGTTCAGACACCCTCCTCACCAACTAAACCTCTGACCGCACTTGCTAGTCCCAGATTGAATACTTTTGCTGCCTCCTACAGGTACCAGCTTCAGTCCCAGGAGGAGACCAAGGAGAGGCGACATTCCCATACCATTGGTGGGCTGCCTGAATCCGATGACCAGTCAGAGCTGCCTTCTCCCCCTGCACTTCCCATGTCTTTGAGTGCAAAGGGCCAACTTACCAACATAGGTTAGTGTTTTCAGTCACTCACTGTGGCATGGTGTGAAGCAGGGGCCACCTTGCAGGGTGAGGCAAGGCAGGTGGGCTTTGGGTTTTATCTCATATTTGACTCATGCTCTATTGGGTTGTTTCATGGTGCCTCAGTTTATCCACCTGAAGTAAGACTGAAGGTAGAGTACTTCAAGATCCTAAACTGAAAAGTTGCCCCTGGGCACAAGTTGTAGGATCCTTTTAGCATCAGAGAGCCTGAATGGTGGCATGGAAAAGCTGTAACCCAAAGCCCAGAGATCAAACCAGTGCAAGAGCAGGCATATTGAACTGCCAGAAAGGAGCCACCACACCCAGTGCTTCTAGGGCCAGCTAATGAGAGGGCAACACTGAAATGTCAGGCCGATGGGGAGGAAGGAAGGAAAGGTTGTTGATTGCCAAGGACAAGATCTGCCTCCAAACTCAGCCAAGTCCAGATTCCTCAACTGCTCTGGCTGAGCCCAGTCCATCCTAACCCTGAAGGCAGGGCTGACTAAGATGTGTCCTGGCCACACCCTTCCTAAAGCCTAGGGAGAAAGGAGAGCTAGGAAATAAGGAAGTGACTTGGAGACAGGGAGGAGAGGAAGCCTCAGATACAGTCTGGCCTAGCACAGTAGCACACCAGCCCCAGTTCTGGGAAGCAGTACGCCATGATTGACCTACTAGGAACCCATTCAGGAACAGTGCCTGGGATAGGCCTGTTATCTGCTTGCTGCATCTCTTTAAATCCATCTCTTCTTTCAGCTGAGTAAAAGAAATCAGTTAATAAAAGACAAGGACCTATAACACACCCATGCAATGACTGTGGGGAATTTGAGGAAAGACTAGGAATTGGGATCACTTGGCCTAGGGAAAAGAACCATTCTTCAGACAGGATCATCTGGCCTCTGAAGGGCTACTAAATGGAAGATGGGGCCAGCTTTTTCTCTATCTCCATTGAAGACCAAATAAGAAGAATTGCATTTGTGCTGTAGAATGAGGGGCTGGGCTAAGCAATAATTACCTTAGGAATTTGAAAAAGTCAACAGAGAGGTGTGCCATCTTCTTCTGCACAGGTCTTTATGGACAGATTAGACATCCACCTGCCTGTATGGAGGCAGAAGAATAGACAAGGGAGCTCCTTGTGGGTATGAAACCCTGAAAGGCTGTAATCCCAACAAGGGGCAAAGGGGTAAGGCATCTTCAGTTTACAGGATTCAGCTGAGCCCAGCTTCAAAGCACATTCCACAAGCCTTACCTGACACTTTCACCTGCTCTGTCCATCTGACCTTCAAGCCGGGGCAATGCTAGGCAAAGAGGGCCGTGTTTCTTGATGCTTTAGAGCCAACCCAGTCACTTAGAGTGACACTACTTTGTGGGGAGATTCTCATGCCCTTCCACAATGCCAAGGCCACTGAATCCCGTAGCCCAGCCCCCTTCTCTAGCTGGTTCTTTTTCATCATTTAGATCTGGCTCTTGGTTTGAATTTTCAGTCCTCCTGAGCTGGCAGTTTTGTTTTAGAGAACCACAGCATCTCATTTTCATCAGCACATCCGAGTGATGTGAAGGTCTCGGAAAAGCTGCCAGGCCCCCAGCCTAACCTTCAAAAGCAGCAGCTCTGAGGCAGGCAGGGTTGAGGGAAGGTCTTTATTCCAGACAGCAGGGTCCTTCTCCATTAGGGCTTGATCTCCCCAGGAGGGACCCCGCTCCTAACCATCAGCTGCTTGCACACTCCCACCACTGCACCTGCCCCTTCCTCTCCTGCCCTCTCCCCATTTGCCTCTCATGCTCCCGGTGCTCCATCCCCCAAGGGCCCGGAGAGCTGATGACCCTGCCTCTTTTCCTGCCCTCCTGCTCCCTCTCCTATCCCCCTTCCCTCTGTCCTTCCAGTGAGTCCCACTGCGGCCACCACGCCAAGAATCACCCGCTCCAACAGCATCCCCACCCACGAGGCGGCCTTCGAGCTGTACAGCGGCTCCCAAATGGGGAGCACCCTGTCCCTGGCCGAGAGACCCAAGGGAATGATTCGGTCAGGATCCTTCCGAGACCCCACGGATGATGGTGAGACTTCATGCCAGCGCGGTTCACGCTCATTCCAGCTCTGCTGGGTCCCCTCACCCACCACCTCCACTCCCACCACTCCCACCACCACACACACACATATGATTCACAGAACATCAAGTTGGGCCATTTCAGTTTTTTCTCCCCATCCCTTTGAAGGGTCTGGGGGCCCAGAAACCTTGGGTGGCACACCTAGCACTGGGGCATTGGGATGGAGCATCCATCACTGGGGCTGGGGGAGGGAAATTGAGCATGGAAGGGTTAAATGGCACGCCTCAGGATGCTCTGAAAACCACAGCTTCTCTCCTCCTCATTCTAGCCATAGTCTTTCCTCCCCACAGTCTCTCAAATATATGAAAAGAAAACAGGACATAATAGTAGCTCTTAATAAATCCTTACAAATAATTAGGCATCTCATTCCTCTTTCAAAAATGTTCCAAAGATGAGCACCAGGGAGGGCCATCTGATTGTTGGTGGTGATCTGGGTGTTAGTATTGATCAGAGCTAGAAGACCAGGCTTATGGCAGCTTAGATCTCCCATTATTATTTTCAAGATGGTCATTCCAGGAGGCATCTGCTGCAGACATGCTTTAGTTCTCACCGTAGGTTCTACTGAATAATCAGAATGACTATTCCTCACTTAAATATTGTTTTCATCTGAATGATCCCCAAGATCCTAAGTACATCCCCCAGTACTGAGAGGAGGAGGCGCGGGCAGAATTGCAGTATTTGTTCCGAGCAAATCTGATGAGAAACTCCCCTCTCCTGCGGCTAAAGTGCTTTCCTGACTGGGAAGATAAGATGACTATCCATGAAAGTCGCCTTTCCCTTCTCTGAAACCCTGTGCCCCTCAGAGCAGACTGAGCAAGGGACTGACATACCCAGGCTGCCAGAGAATGTAGGCTGAAAGAGGAGGCTAGCTCGACTCAAGACCTTGCTTTGGGCTCTTTTGATGCCAGTTGGGTTCCCTACTCTGTTCTGTTTGCTCCAGATGCCCTCCAGAATCATAATCCAAACTCTTGCCTTAGGGGGTCTTCCAAAAACCCCTTGTCCCTGGAACCCACTGTTAACTCTTTGTGTTCTCCTTCTCTTTCAGTTCACGGCTCAGTGCTGTCCCTGGCCTCCAGTGCCTCCTCCACCTACTCCTCAGTAAGAGCATTAACTTCTCTTCCCCTCTCATCCCCTCTCCTCTACCATCCCATGCTCCCTAGAACCTCCTTGGAGTTGGGTAACTGGGCAGGGAATGGGGGTACTGCTCTCTCTTTACTGTACCCATTGGGGTGGGAGTAGGGGAGGCACCTAGAGCTTGTAGCACTGACTTGGGTGCCTCAGGACCTCCATGGTCTTTCTGACCCCGCCACCAGCTCCTGAGCAAGTCTGGTGATTTTTGTTGCCCTCCTTTGAAAAATGGAGAATCCCCATGTTAGCAAGCCCTTTCTGTGCCATGGTAGATGGGAAGCATGTATGGCAAGGTGAGATGAATAGGTTTCTAGGACCCGGACTCCAGAACCCTAGAAGTGACCAAGTGTTTATTGTGGGGCGCCAGCCACAGCATTTGGCTATTAGGCATTTCTTGATTCATAGATTTGTTTTGCCCCTAATTCTTTTCTCCAAGTTGCTGGCAATAACTGTTAGTTCTCAAACCGACCAAAGTCTCATTTCCTAGCCTTTTTGGCAATGACAAAGTTTGCTGGAGATGAGCTCCAAATAAATCTTTTATTGAAACCCTAGTATAGATCTGAGCCGAGTCCTGTGAGGAGCCAGGGCCAGGAAACAAGAGTTTCAGCCTCTCTGCACCTCTGAGTCATGCTTCTTCACATTTCCTACCCTGCCACCGGGACCTGACTTCTTCACCTCCATAGTAACTACTTCCTTTCTCTCTCTTTCTCTCCTTCTGTGCTCCCTTCTTCAGGCTGAGGAGAGGATGCAATCTGAGGTAGGGTGCAAAGCCTTTGTCTCTGCTTGTTAACATCACTGCACCCCATTTTCCTTCCAAATCTTACACAGCTTCTGTAGCCAGTAGTTTGTGTTTCTCTTCCTTTTACAGCAAATCCGGAAGCTTCGTAGGGAACTGGAATCATCCCAGGAAAAAGTGGCCACCTTGACGTCTCAGCTTTCTGCCAATGTGAGTGCCATGAAGTAGGCAAAGATCAAGGCAGTTATTTTGACCATAATTAGACAAGTTCAGCCAAGGGAGGAAAATTACCTGGTAAGGTATCACCTGGACTGAGACTTCAAGGGCATGGGTCTTCTTCACAGCTTTACGATAGAAGACTAGGGGATTGTTCTTCCCCTTCTCCGAGGCTCAACTTTTATGACGAACCATTTTGCTTCCACTCTAATTAATAGGTATGGATGAGTTCATGTCTGATGGGCTGAGCTCCCTAGAGAAAGAGAAGAAGATTGATTATCAGTGGTTCTGCATGGAGGCAGAAACAACCTTGCCATTGGTCATGGACAAAAGCAGTTATGGATTATAATTATAGGGCTCTTAGAGCCTTTCCACTGCCCTGGGGGGTGTTCATGTCTTTGTTCATGCCACATAACTGTGCAGGCACATAATTGGTCATTAGAATTCTGTCTGGTGACCGCGACACTACTGAGAAACTTAACTCCCATTCTGGTCTGACTCCTTCATTCCCAACTGCCTTTTCTGAGTAGTCTCCTTGGGCAGATGGTAGAAACAATCTGAGGTTCAGGTTGAGAGCTAGAGTTCTTTGTTTCTACCCTCAGTACCTCTGTTTAGAATGAGTCTATTTCTTTAGGCCTTAGTTTTTCTACCCTGTGACATGGGGAGAAATGAAGCCACCGCCTCTAACCAGGCTGTGGTAGTTTCTCCCCTGTGACTGAGTTGCAAACAGAGAACATAAGAACCATTTTCCCCCAAAGCTGTAAACAACAGCTGAGCCGGATCTGCAGGAGCTTTCCAAGTGTTTGCACAAAAGTAACCATGTCTGCAATTTCCGCAGTAGTTTCTGGTTTTCTCTCTGCCCTTCCTCTCTGGGGAACCCAGCTGTCAGGCCTGGGGTCTATCCCTCGGAATTAGGTAGAAGAATCTCCACCAAGATTCTGAATGTTTCCAACACATTTCAGCAGCAGTTCCCTCGCCACACTAGTTATTCTCTTGATTCTCTTTTCCCAAACCCTCAATTCATAGGTTGTACCAGTTTGTTTGAAGCTCATGTTAAGCACTTTTTCCCACTCTTGGGGGACCCATAAGAATTGTAACATAAACAAGAACCATCTTTTCTCTCCCTCGTGCCACACCCACCAAAGCAAAAGGCCTGGGTCACGTCCTGCACACCCCAGGAAATTCATGTCTGGGAGATGCTGGGGGGGAGAGGCGCCAGGGAGGCAGAGAACATTATTATGTCTGATTCATTTACACTGCAATCTGTCAGCCACCATGCTGTCAAGGCTGGGCTGGAGCCAAGAAATTGAATTTAGAGGGTGATTTTTCTTAGAACAGGAAGTTCCATTTGGCTAAGAGAACAAACTAAACACCCAGACATGGTGGGTTCTGCATCTTAAAGGCAGATTTTTGCCGAGGGTCAGAACCCTGCCTTCAAGCAGGAGATGGGATGCTGGGACTCTAGGAAGGTTCCACAGCTCTCTTCAGGATTCCCTGACTACAAACCAAACTTCTGTCATGTTCCATGGAACTTCCTAGCTACTGAAGCTGAGGGCACAACCTAGACGGAGGGTCCCAGACCACTTTACCCCTCTCAAATGCTAGCCTTTCTGCAGCGCCACTGCTTAGCCCTGAGGTCTTACAGGTACCCTAGTCTGGGGTTGAGATTAGGGGAAGGGTCAACGTAGGGAGAGGAAGTGTAGGGGAGAGGGGGGAGGAAGCCCAGCCAGAGCAAAAGGGGTCCCCTGGATGGGGAAAGGCAACACAGAAAAGCATACAGGGGTTCTTGGGGCCTCTCGTGAGTAGTCTTCCAGGGACTACAAGGAGTCTACAAGCAGACACACAGGGATGTAGAGAAGCAAACCAGAGAAGACCTGAGGTCAAGAAGACAGATGTTCCCTGCACAGTGGGTGAAAGGAAACTGCGCAGGTCGTGACATATTATAATCTCCTCAGAGCCCAGGTCTTGACAGATTTATAGTAGAAGTGCAAGAGGAGCCTCTAACGGGACCAAAGGGATTGCCTCCAGCCCTGGTCCTATGTAGTAGGTTCCGAACATGTGGGGCAGTAGATGAAAACTAGAGTTGACCCAACAGGGAGGGAGAATTGTAAGCCAGCAGGAGCCATGAGAGTGCCACCAATTTCCTAGAGCTCTGCATGAAGGAGCTGCCCAGAGTATGCCCACTTCTTGCTCGGGTCACCAACTTGCTCAGATAGTCTCAGGATGGCTATTTCTCCATCCCCAAGTGCTCCCCTTTCTAGCCCCCGGCCTCATTCCCTTCACCTTGCCTATACATCTTGCAGCCAGTTGGCCAACTAGAGGTCAAACTATGCCAAACCAAATGGCCTTAGCTCCTCCACTCAGCACCTTTCGGAACTAGCCTGCCTCTTACCTAGAGAACCCTTTGGTATCCTTCACTCCTCATGAAACAGACCTGACACCTAGTGGCCAAATGGTGGAATGCCCCTGCAGTTTCCTTCCAGCCCTGTAAACCCAGAGAATCTGGGAACAAGGAGCAGCTGCAAAGCAAGAAAGGGTGAAGCAGTGAAGTAGCAGAGGAGGAAGAGATGCACCAAATAATTTCTGCCAGGAGATTATTTGGTCCCATGGGAGTTGGCCCACTCCACAATGCAGGAGTTAAACCAAAATAATAGGAACGACCTCAGAGGCTATGGCCTGCCTACCAAGTTGGCCACACCAAATATCACATAGAGCAGAGGGATAGTCCTACCTCTGGTAGATGATGGGTTTTAGATCTCAAGTCTCCAAGAGCCTCCAAAAACCTGCCCTACCCTCAACCTGGCTTCATTATTCAAGAAGCTAATTCACACCAGAAAATGTCTTTGATTTCCCCTTTGTCTGCTCAGGGAAGTCAATATTTTTTAACCACCAAGAGGCGTGCCAGCACTGGTCAGCTCTGAGATACAGGAAATCAGTTAAAACTATTTCCCATTGTCAGTCATTGCCTCTCCCCCAGCCTTATGCAATTTAGCAGTCTCTTTTTGTGTTTGTTTCAGGCTAATCTAGTGGCTGCTTTCGAGCAGAGCCTGGTGAATATGACATCCCGCCTGCGACACCTGGCAGAGACGGCCGAGGAGAAGGTGAGAGGCCTGGGAAGGGGAGGGAGGGAGGGGTGGGTGCGGTGAGGGGGTTCTCCTGGACAGAGAGGCTGAGGCTGACCTCTTCTTGCTCATGACTGCCCGTTTCTCCCCACCTCACTATCACCCTGGATTCTCAATCTGCCTCCAATACAGTGTGAGCATATTCCTTATCCCAATTCCCTGCCCTTCTCTGTAAGTTTGGTAGAATTCCAATGCCTCACCCATTGCCTGACACACCATAAGGGCTCCTGCTAATCCCAACTAATGATGCTGTTTTCTTTTTTTTTTTTTTAAGACGGAGTTTCGTTCTTGTCGCCCAGGCTGGAGTGCACTGGTGCGATCTTGGCTCACTGCAACCTCTGCCTCCCGGGTTTAAGCGATTCTCCTGCTTCAGCCCCACAAGTAGCTGGGATTACAGGTGCCTGCCACCACGCCCAGCTAATTTTTGTATTTTTAGTGGAGACCAGGTTTCACTGTGTTGGCCAGGCTGGTCTTGAACTCCTGCCATCAGGTGATCCACTCACCTCGGCCTCCCAAAGTGCTGGAATTATAGGTGTGAGCCACCGTGCCCAGCCAACGCTGTTTTCATTTCTCTCTTAGGACACTGAGCTGCTGGATTTGCGAGAAACCATAGACTTTCTGAAGAAAAAGAACTCTGAGGCCCAGGCAGTCATTCAGGGAGCCCTTAATGCTTCAGAAACCACACCCAAAGGTAGGACAACCAGCCACAGATTGAGAGGGAACAGGGGTGGCAGGAAAGGAAGAGTATTACAGATTTTTATCTGGGCCTATAGTATTCCAGGTCCTATACCAAATCTCTAGAAGGTGAGGGCCTTTAGATACCCTTTAGTGTGATGTCTGGACTGGTCAGTGAGGAGTACCAGGGGCATGACCCCAGCTTCCCAAGGGATGAAGGCAAGTAGAAGAGACCTGTAAGCCCCAGGGGTCCTCTCCTTAACCTTTACGTCAGGGCCAAAGAGCCATCAAAGCCCATCATTAAAATAGCCCTTAACATTTTTATGCAAATGTGTTGTGTGTCCACACACATGCACATAGATACACACACACACACACACACACACACACACACACACACAATCTTATTTGATCCCCACTTTAGTTCTCCAAGGGAGATGCAGTCTACTCTTCCAATGAAACAACCAAAGTTCACATAGGTTATATGGTGCTGAAATGGCAAGTTAGCCTGGATGTTTAGTCACCAGTCAAGCTTTGCTACAGAAGTCAAGATGGATGGGAGTCTGATGCCTCAAAAATCTGTGATCTCTAACTCCAATCAGGTCTTCAAGATACCTTGGCAGTCCTCTTACTTGTCCACAGTCAGTTTTCTTTTTTATTCCACTATTAGTGATTCCCAGCTTTCATTGCTTTTTTCAAGCTCCTCGTTCCCCCACTGACTTGCCGTACTCTGAACATAGCCTTGGCCCCCTCCTTAGTTAAGAAAATGAACATTTTCAAGAGAGAACTCCATTTACTCTTCCCCACTGCATGTGTTTATATTCATCCAATGCTTATTTGTTTGTCTCCATTTTGTTGAAAGGATCCATCCCTTCTGGCCAAGAGTGACCACTTATCTAATGTTTTGGGATGCCTTCTTTAGCAACCATACAACCTCCCTCCACGCCACACATGCCCTTTTCTACCTCTCTGATCTCTTATGCTCTATTCATTCCTTCTCTGCTTATAAACCTGCCAAAGGCTCTTGTATCTTAAAGGGGAAGGATGTATCACTCTATGTTCTAACTATAATCTTATTTCTTTCCTTCCTCTAGTCGATCCTACCTTTCCACCTCCCTTTCACACTTAACCCCACTATAATTACGCTTCTGTTACCATCATTCTACCAAAAACACTTTCACTAACGTCACCAGTGACTCCCATTTTTCCAAAATCCAACTTACAAGTGTTAGTACTTATTTTACTTTTTTTTCTTTTTTTTTTTGAGTCGGAGTCTCACTCTGTTGCCCAGGCTGGAGTGCAGTGGCGCGATCTCAGCTCACCACAACCCCCACCTCCCGGGTTCAAGCGATTCTCCTGCCTCAACCTCCTGAGTAGCTGGGACTACAGGTGCGTGCCACCACGCATGGCTAATTTTTGTATTTTTAGTAGAGATGCGGTTTCACCATGTTAGCAAAGTGTTTTCAAGACTCATCCATGCGGGGCGTGGTGGCTCATGCCTGTCATCCCAGCACTTTGGGAGGCCGAGGTGAGCAGATCACTAGCTCAGGAGATCGAGACCATCCTGGTTAACACAGTGAAACCCCGTCTCTACTAAAAATACAAAAAATTAGCCAGGCTTGGTGGCGGGCACCTGGAGTCCCAGCTACTCAGGAGGCTATGGCAGGAGAATGGCATGAACCCAGGAGGCGGAGCTTACAGTGAGCCGAGATTGCGCCACTGCACTCCATCCAGGCTGGGTGACAGGGCAAGACTCAGTCTCAAAAAAAACAAAAAAAAAAACAAAAAAAACAACGAAAAAACAAAAGACCCATCTATGTTGTATCATTCCTTTTTGTGACTGAATAATATTCCATTGTGTAGATATACCACAGTTTGTTCAGCCATTCATCAGTTGATTAGGTAGGCATTGAGTTGTTTTCACTTTTTGCCTATTATGAATAATGCTGCCATGAACATTCATGTACAAGTGTGTGTGTGGACATACGTTTTTAGTTCTCTGGGGTATATACCTAGAAGTGGAATTGGGGGGTCATATGGTAACTCTATGTTTGACTATTCGAGGAATTGGCAAGCTGTTTTCCAGAGCAGCTGCACCATTTTACATTCCTATCAGCATCATATGAGAGTGCCAATATATCCATGTTCTTTGTTTTTGTTTTTTTGAGATGGAGTCTCGCTCTGTTGCCCAGGCTGGAGTGCAATGGTGCAATCTCAGCTCACTGCAACCTCCGCCTCCCAGGTTCAAGTAATTCTTCCGCCTTAGCCTCCCGAGAAGCTGGGATTACAGGTGCCTGCCACTACGCCCAGCTAATTTTTTTTTTTTTTCTGTATTTTTAGTAGAGACAGGGTTTCACCATGTTGGCCAGGCTGGTCTTGAACTCCTGACCTCCAGTGATCCACCTACCTCGGCGTCCCAAAGTGCTAGATTACAGGCGTGAGCCACCACACCCAGCCCTATAGCTCCACATTCTTGCTAACACTTACTGACCTCTTTTTTGCAATAGCCATCTTAGTGGGTGTGAAGTGGTATCTCATTGTGGTTTTGATTTTCATTTTCTTTATGGCTAACAACACTGAGCATCTTTTCATGTGCTTATTTGCTATTTGTATGTCTTTATGCAGAAATGTCTATTCAAATCCTTTGCCCATTTTTAAAATCAGGTTGTCTTTTGTTGTCGAGCCTTAAGAGTTTTTTAATAATTCTGAATATTAGACCCTTATCAGACATATGATTTGAAAAACAGTTTCTCTCATTGTATGGGTTGCTGTTTCGCTTTCTTGAAAATATTATTTGAAGAACAAAAGTTTTCCATTTTCATGAGGTATAATTTATCTATTTTTTCCTTTGGCTGCTTGTGCTTTAGGTGCTGTATCTAAGAAATTATTGCCTAATCCAGGGTCATGAAGACTTACTCCTGGGATTCCTTCTAAAATTTTTTTTAGTTTTAGGCCTTTGTTCCATTTTTGGTAAATTTTTGTACATGGTATCAGGTAGGCAGTCCAACTTCATTCTTCTACATGAGGATATCTAGTTGTTCCAGCATAATTTGCTGAAAAGACTATTTTTTCCCCCCTGAATTGTCTTGGCACTCTTTAGGAAATCAATTGACCATACATATATGGGTTTCTTTCCAGACTTTCAGTTCTATTCCATTCTTCCATATGTCTATCCTTGGCCAGTACCACATTGTTTTTATTACTGTAGCTTTGTAGTAAGTTTGGAAATTGGGAAGTGTGAGTCCTCCAACTTTGTTCTTTTTCAAGGTTGTTTTGGCTACTCTGTGTCCTTTGCATTTCCATGTGAATTTTAGGATTCGTTTGTTAATCTCAGATTGAATTTTCCTAGGGATTGCATTGAATCTGTGTATCAATTTAGAGAGTATTGCCTCTTAACAATGTTAAGTCTTCTAATCCATGAACAGGCATGCCTTTATCTAAATATGCTTTCATTTTTTTCAGTGATATTTTGCAGTTTTCAGTATATGAATCTTGCACTTATTTTGTTAAACTTAGTTTTTATGCTGTTGTAAACGGAATTGTTTTCTTAATTTCTCTTTTGAGTTATTGATTACTAGTGTATAAAAATACAATTGATTTTTTTGCACATTGATCCTATATCCTGCAGACTTGCTGGACTCACTTATCAGCTCATTTGGTTTTACAATCTCTTCTTAATCTGTATTTCTATCCGTATCAGTCTCCTGAGTTCCAGACCTTTACTTCCAACCACGTCTGGATGTTTCCACTTAGTTGACCTCATAGAGATATCTCTAACTTAATATGTCCAAAATTAAAGTCATCCCCTTCACCCCACTTACAAACACACAAGCCAACCTTTTCCCTTCTACAGTTTGCGCATCTCAGGTATTATCATTTGCCTGGTTGCCCAAGCCTCTAATACGAGAATCATCTTTGATTCCTCACTGTTTCACCCTGTATAGTCAGTTAGTTCTAACTCCTACGTAGATCTCAATTCTATCCCTCTTATGTATTGTCACTATCCTGGCTCAGGTTTTTATCGTTCTTCTCCTAGAATATTTCAATAATTTCCTTACTGGTTTAGCTGTGCTCATTCTTCCAGTGCTTTCCTTGCCCTCAGAGTAATCCAATTATGTCAGTTAAGATCAGAAATTACTCCAGGCCAGGCACAGTGGCCCACGCTATAATCCCAGCACTTTGGAAGGCCAAGACAGGAGTTCACTGTAGGCCAGGAGTTCAAGACCAGCCTGGGAAACATAGTGAGACCTCGTTCTTTAAGAATTAGCCTGTAGTCCTAGCTACTCCAGAGGCTGAGTCTGGAGGACTGCTTGAGCCCAGGAGGTAGAAGCTGCAGTGAGCCGTGGTGGTTGCACTGACTCCAGCCTGGGTGAAAGTGAAATCATGTGTCGTAAAAAAAAAACACACACACAAGAAATCATTCTAATTTGAATATGGACTAGATATTATGTGAAAAGAATTACTGTTCATTTTCTCTCTCTCTCTCTTTTTTTATTTTATTTTATTTTTTATTTTTGAGACAAAGTCTCACTCTGTTGCCCAGGCTGCAATGCGGTGGTACAATCTCGGCTGACTTTAACCTCCGCCTCCCGGGTTCACGTCATTCTCCTGCCTCAGCCTCCTGAGTAGCTGGGACTACAGGTGTGTGCCACCACGCCTGGCTAATTTTTGTATTTTGAGTAGAGATGGGGTCTCACCATGTTGGCCAGGCTGGTCTCAAACTCCTGGCCTCAGGTGATCCACCCACCTCAGCCTCCCAAAGTGTTGGGATTATAGGCATGAGCCACTGTGTCCAGCCACTGTTCATTTTCTTAGGTGTGATAATAGTACTGTGGGAGAATGTTCTTATTCTTAGAAAGTACATCCATCTCCAAAAAAAAAAAAAAAAAAAAAGTATATCCTGAAATCTTTAGTGTCAAAAGATGTATTCTCTGTAACTTATTTTCAAATTGTTCAAGAAACTGTGTGTGTGCGTGCATGTGTGTGTGTAGAGAGAGAGAGAGAAAGCAAATAAAACAAAATATTAACAATTGTTGAATTAGGTGGAGGGCATATGGGTTTTTCTGTGTGTAACCTGCTCTTCAAACATATATTTGTTGAATGAATGAATTGTGCTTTTTGCTATGAGTTTTCTTGTTATCCTCAGTTCACATTGATCCAGGCTTAACTTGGTCAGGTGAATTTCTAGGAATATTCGAAGAATCAATGCTTAGGCAATAATGCCTATCTTTATTATTTTATTTATAAATAGATAATAAATATACATGGTACAAAATTCAAAATGCACAATAATTTTCTTAATTTTTGAAGATTGCTTGATTCTGCAACGTATCATTTGCTCTTAAAAGTACTATATAGGGTCGGGCGTGGCTCCTCACGCGTATAATCCCAGCATTTTGGGAGGCCATGGCAGGTGGATCACCCGAGGTCAGGAGTTCGAGACCAGCCTGGTCAACATGGTGAAACCCTCATGGTGAAAACCTTTTGTACTCTACTAAAAGTACAAAAATTAACTGGTCATGGTGGCAGGTGCCTGTAATCTCAGCTACTCAGGAGGCTGAGACAGAAAAATCGCTTGAACCTGGGAGGCAGAGGTTGCAGTGAGGCGAGATCATGCCATTACACTCCAGCCTGGGCAACAAGAGTGAAACTTCGTCTCAAAAAAAAAATACTATAGAGTGTATTTTTTAAATGTAATTGATATATCCCAACTAATTGAAACCTCCAAATAACTGATAGGCAGATGCACATACTTTGCTACCCTTTATTTTTATTTATTTATTTATTTATTTATTTATTTATTTATTTGAGACAGGGTCTCACTCTGTTGCCCAGGCTGGAGCACAGTGGTGCTATCTCAGCTCACTGCAGCCTCAGTCCCCGGGGCTCATGTGATTCTCCCATTTAAGCCTCCGGAGTATCTGTGATTAGAGGTGCACAACACCATGCCCAGCTAACTTCTTGTATTTTTAGTAGAGTTGGGGTTTTGCTATGTTGCCCAGGCTAGTCGCAAACTCCTGGACCAAGAAATCCACCCACCTGGGTCTCCCAGAGTGCTGGAATTACAGGCATGGGCCACCACACCCATCCCCTTTATTTTATTTTTAATTAACTAGTTTTAATTAAACTAATTTTTATCATAAAAGCAATGGATGTTCTGAGGGGGAATGTAAACTAGGGGTTGGCAAATCATGGCCCATCAGCCAAATCTGGCTTACCACTCTGTTGGTAAACAAAATTTTATTGGAAACACAGCCACACACATTAATTTATATAATGTCCGTGGCTGCTTTCAGGCTACAACAGCAGAACTGAGGAGTTGTGATCAAGACCCTATGGCCACAAAGCATAAAATATTTACTTTCTGGCCCTTTACAGTAAATGTTTTCCAACCACTGAGATAAACTATACAGAAGGGTATACGGTGAAACATAAAATCCCTCTCCCTGAGTCACCCCTCCAAATCCCAATCCCCAGAGGTAAGTACTGCTAATAGTTTTAATCTTTTCCAGAAATAAATATCTGTGTATATACAAATAAACATATATGGATACATACATTCATTTTTACATAAATGAAGATTTTTTTCTAACTTCAACTTGGCATATCCCCGTTTTTGTTTGTTTGTTTGTTTTTGTTTTTGTTTTGTTTTGTTTTGTTTTGTTTTGTTTTTTGAGACAAGGTCTCACTCTCATGCTGTTGCCCGGGATGGAGTGTAGTTATACAATCTCAGCCCACTACAACCTCCAACTCCTGGGTTCAAGCGATCCCCTGCCTCAGCCACCTAAGTAGCTGGGACCACAGGCGTGTGCCACTACACTTGGCTAATTTTGTAATTATTTGTAGAGATGGGGTTTCACTATGTTGCCTAGGTTGGTCTTGAACTGCTGGCTCAAGCCATCCTCCTGCCTTGGCCTCCCAAAGTGCTGGGATTACAGGCATGAGCCACCACACCCAGCCTCAGCATATCCTCTTGAGAATTTCCCATGCTTTTTAAAAATAACTGAAGTACTCTAGTGTCATTAACTGGGTATGATAATCGTACAAAGGGTTTTCCACATGCCTTATGAGCTTTGTAGTTCCAGCATCAGATCCTAGGATCTTGTTTTCCCTGTAGTATCAAGGGAAAATTAGAGTTTAAAAGATAATTTCTGATCATGGTGAGAGTGAGGAAAATAACCAAACCTTACCCACATCTCCTTCATCTAACAGGTTTTGTTTCTAGGAGAAAATTGCAAATAGCCACTTTACTACTCCCCTTCCTCCAGTTTAGTTTCCCTCCATTTCCTCTTTTTCATTGTTAACATAGTAAGCTCTGTTTAAAAATTTTTTTTAAATAGACACGAGGGCCTCACTATGTTGCCCAATCTGCTCTCAAACTCCTGGGCTTAAGTAATCGTCCTGCCTTGGCCTCCCTGAGTGCTGGGGTTACAGTTGTGAGCCACTGAGCCCAGCCTAAAAAATCTTTGACATCACACCATAGTTAGGCACGATGTTTGCATTGGACGAGGTTGAGTGAAATGTGCAGAGGACCTCCCTGTGCATTTCTTTGCAACTTCCTATGAATCTATAATTATTTTAAAATAAAACAGATTTTTAAAATCAGATAATATTTTACATTAGATTCAGAATTTCTGTTCTCCATTATCTATGGCACAGAGGCAAATTTCCTTTAAAAGACATTGAGGGGGCCAAGCACAGTGGCTCATCCCTGTAATCCCAGTACTTTGGGAGGCTGAGGCAGGTGGATCACCTGAGGTCAGGAGTTCGAGACCAGCCTGGCCAACATGGCAAAACCCCATCTCTACTAAACATACAAAAATTAGCCGGGTGTGGTGGCAGAAGCCTGTAATCTCAGCTACTCAAGAAGCTGAGACAGGAGAATCGTTTTGAACCCAGGAGGCAGAGGTTGCAGTGCGCCAAGATCACGCCACTGCACTCTAGCCTAGGCAAGAAGAATGAAACACCTTCTCAAAAAAAAAAAAAGAAAAAAAGAAAAGACATTGAGGGGCTGGGTGTGTTGGCTCATGCCTATAATCCCAGCACTTTGGGAAGCCATGGCAAGACGATCACTTGAACCCAGCAGTTCAAGACCACCCTGGGCAACACAGAAAGACCTTGTCTCATTAACAAAAAAGAAAGAAAGAAAAAGAAGTCCGGGCGCAGTGGCTCATGCCTGTAATCCCAGCACTTTGGGAGGCTGAGGCTGTGGTCAGGAGTTCAAGAACAGCCTGGTCAACATGGTGAAACCCCATCTCTACTAAAAATACAAAAAAATTAGTGGGCCTGGTAGCGGGCACCTGTAATCCCAGCTACTCGGGAGGCTTAGGCAGAGAATTTCTTGAACCCAGAAAGTGGAGGATGCAGTGAGCCGAGATCATGCCACTGCACTCCAGCCAGGGTGACAGAGCGAGATTATGTCTCAAAAAAAAAAAGAAAGAAAGAAAGAAAAGAAAAAGGAAAAAAGACATTGAGAACTGTCCCTGATCTGGCCTGAGCCTAACCTCACCCTTACTTTTTTCTGTACCCCCACACATGCCCTCTGCTGCTTCCATTCCAGACTACCCACAGTTCCTCAAAGCAAAGCCAGTTCCCTGGACAGTGCCTTTGCTTGTACCTTTTCTTCAGCCCTAAATACGTTTTCCAAAATTCCCATCTGAAAAATTTCTATTCTTTCAGTTCTCAAACATCTTTTGCTAATCCCTTCCTTCCCTGTTGTAGAAAAGTAGATTATTTTTTGTGCCATCACAAACCTTCTCAGAAAGTGAAGATTTTCTACCCACCAGATGAGAAAACTGAAGCTCTTTCAGGTGGAATGCAGAGTACATGGCTAGTAATGTACTTGGCTAGTACATGGCTAGTCCTTGGCCTTGGACCACCAGATAGCCAAGTATTGCTAGAAAAATCATGAAAAATGGTAGGTTGATGTCTCCATAAAGAGGGCTGGCTTTAGTTAAGTCCTTAGACTGATTCAAGCTGAGTTCATGACTCCATGCTAACTTCTGGTTCTTGAGAAAAGGAATCATTTCTTATTTAATTCTTACCTTTTGCACTTTTTCTATGTTGAAACATGATTGGGACTCAATAAATGTTTGCTGAATGAATGATCCAAAAAAATGAATAATGTGGATTGAGGAGTTGGTTGGTTCTCCTTTCTCTTATCTTCTGCCACTAGACTTGCCTGAAGTCTCACGTCCTCTCTAAATCTCTTCTGTTTTTCCCCACTTGTACTTGGCCCTAGAACTTCGGATCAAGAGACAAAACTCCTCAGATAGCATCTCAAGCCTCAACAGCATCACTAGCCATTCCAGCATCGGCAGCAGCAAGGATGCTGATGCAAAAAAGAAGAAAAAAAAGAGTTGGGTAGGTAAAGGTTTGGGGGGTGGGGAACTAGGTAGAACCGTGGTGGACCGCCTTCACCTCGGCATAGGGATCGAATCCTTCTGGGATTAACCAAGGTGTAGTCCCGTCTAACACTGAGCCCTAGTGTGATGTCCGCTCAGAGCACGGTCTCCCAAATTCTCCCTTCCCTCAATCATTCCCTACTTGTCCCCAAGGCCACCCCTCTGACCTTTATATATATGTATCTGCTTTCTTTGGACTTTCTTTGGGCTCTCCATTTGGTTAGGCCAGATGTATTTGGCAGCAGAAGGATGATGAGGAAATACTCAGAAGGAAACATCTTATCAGTTCTGTTCCCCCCATTCCCCCACTCCCTTCTATACTATGGAGAGATTTTATGAACAAAGCTGTTCATTCTAGACTCCTGGAGGTCATTTCTTTAATTTTTGGAGATGCTTTGTGGAGCTTTCCAGATTACTTCAAAAGACTGTATTATTACCTTTGGTAGGTCCAGAAGTCATTTTTGTGCGTGTGGTGTTTTTCCCTTGCATAATCCTAAACTGACCTTTCTGAAATTCTTCAGGCAGGTCTAGACAGTCTCAGCCCCTCTTGCTGACTGTGGTAAGAAAGCATCCCCAAGTGGACATGTCCTGCTCCTCTGTCCCCTGTTCAGTAAGACACGCCCCCAGACCTTTGTATAATGCAGACAGGTACCAGCTGTGTGAAATGAGTGATTAAGTGTTGATTCTTTTTTTTTTTTCCTTCAAAATGCTGACTCCAAATCCCTATTTTTTTCCAGGTCTATGAGGTAAGAGACCCAGTTCCTATCCCCTTATTTTCTCTTTCCCTTTGCCATACCTTCCCTATTTCCAGAGCAACTCCCTTCCCCTAAAAACAAAAATGAATGACCACTCATAACACTAACTGTAATGACCACCCAGAGTTCCTAACTCACTCCACTGCATGGTCCATCCACAGCTGCCCCATGTGAGGACAGAGGAGTGGTCTGGTTGGGGGCCAAATGGGAAAGTCAAACAAAATTCAAATATATTCCCTACTATCTTCCCCTGTTACAAAATTGGCCTGTTATAAAAAGCAGTTAAATTGAGCTCCTCCTATCCAGAAAAATGAACCTTCTTCTTTTTGGTTCCATAATACCTAGAGACCTAACATGGAAGAGAGTCACTGGATGAAAGTTATCTTGACTACAGTTTCCACAGGCCAGTTCAGCCTGGGTCTAACCCGAAGATTTAGCTCTAGAGTAGGATGAACCAGAGATAGGTGAGGGATAGAGACCAGGAGGGCACACTCAAGTCACCCCAAAGCCTAAAACTGTCTAAGCATTCTTGGAGTTCCCAAAGACATTTCAGGGATGAGAGTATAGTCTAAGATGAACAGAAAATGCATCCAGAATTTCTGTTACAAACCAGATACCTGAGGTCCACTCTAACCCTACCCCAACATTGTGCTAGGTGTTGTGAAGGATATGAAAAATAGAATCTATAATCTCGTCATTAAGGAGCCCGCAGTATTACTGGGGAGACCAAAAAAATTATACATATAAAATTAATAGCAATCCAACAGTGCCACAATGCTTATTCGAGCAGTAAGTACTAGGAGTTCACAGATGACGAGACGGTGATTACAATAGGCAGGGAAGACTTCTCAAAGGAGGTAAAAGTTAAACTGAGATGGAACTGTGATGGGTAGAGAGGAATGTGTTGGGATGCTTTCTACATAGACACTATTCAGAAGAGAAGCAATGGTAGATGGAGAAGGCCAGCTTAGCTAGAGAACTGACTAAGTAGGGTATAGTCAACATAGGAAGAGCCTGATACTTATTTAAATTTGATTTTTTAGATTAACATTTCCCAAAGTGTGTTCCACTGATTGCCAGCCCATTGAGATGCTCCTTAAAATGTGATACCATTGACTGGGCTCAGAGGCTCAGGCCTGTAATCCCAGAACTTTGGGAGGCTGAAGTGGGCGGATCACTTGAGCTCAGGAGTTCAAGATCAGCCTGGGCAACATGGTGAAACCCCGCCTCTACTAAAAATGCAACAATGTACTGGGTATGGTGATGCGTCCCTGTGGTCCCAGCTACTTGGGGGCTGAGGTGGGAGGATAGCTTGAGCCTGGGAGATTAAGTGAGCCAAGATTGCATCACTGCACTCTAACCTGGGTGAGTGAGACCCTGTCTCCAAAGAAAGTAAAAAGTGATACCATCATCAAATAAATTTGAGAAGTACTGCATTTTCTCTCTCTCTTTTTTAATTTTTTTTTTTTTTTTTTTGAGGCAGAGGCTCACTCTGTCACCCAGGCTGGAATGCAATGGTGCGATCTTGGCTCACTGCAACCTCAGCCTCCCAGGTTCAAGCAATTCCCCTGCCTCAGCCTCCCGAATAGCTGGGATTACAGCATGCACCAACATGTCCAGCAAATTTTTGTATTTTTAGTAAAGACGGGGTTTCACCATCTTGGCCAGGCTGGTCTCAAACTCCTGACCTCAGGTGATTCGCCCACCTCCGCCTCCCAAAGTGCAGGAATTATAGGCATGAGCCACTGCGCCCGGCCTAAGTACTGCGTTTTCTACATCTGCACAGAAAAAGTTCTGAGATATCCCCCAGCAAATAATCTTGTTTCATTTTGCTTAATCCATTGTTCCCTAAACTCATTTAACCATGGAACCATTAGCCACGTAACACCAAACATCTCCCAATAGTTCTGGCTTTGGGAATACTGAACTACACATATTCTCACTTAGGATCTTGTTGATCTTAGGGGCATATGCTCCAGGCAGCTTGTCATAGGATCTCTTTATACACACACACACACACACACACACACACACACACACACACACACACAGCATCCCATGAGGCAGTGGTATGGAGAAACTTCACCGGATTGAAAATTAGGAAGCCTGAGTTCTAGTCCTAAGTCTTACGTCAATTAGGTAGTTTCAAGCAACTCAACTCTGGTCTTTTCAGGCTCAGTTCTTCATCTCTGCAGAGAACTGAGCTTTATGGTATTTTTGAGCCCTGACTGCTCAGTGATAAGAAGTCACCTGGAGCCAGCCAGCTGCACACATACTCACTCATTCATATCTCCACCACAGTCAAGTTGGTCCTCTTTATGTCTTGCCTGGTGGAAACCCCAAGACGCACCACCCACCAGCTCCATCTATCACCTGACGGCCTTCCTATGTTCCAGGAGAGACACTTAGAAAGTGTACCCTCAAATTTTTCCTTCTTTTTTCTCACTGTCCCAAATATCTGGTTTGCCTTTGTCCCCTATAACCTTTGACCCCTCCTTTACTCTCTGCCTCTTGCTGCCATTTCATATTTGTGTCCCTGTGTGTATGTGTGTGTGTATGTGTGTGTGTGTGGTGTGTGGTGTGTGCATGCTGTATGGATGCATGTGGATGGGTATGGGACAGGACCCTGGTTTGCATCTCTAGCTCACATCCCTAACACCCAAGCTCATCAACATCAAGATCAAACAAGCTACGGTCAGATTATAACGCCCCAAGCACTCTAAGGAAATGCTGGGAAATAGCCCTTCTTCTAGGACATTGGAAATCCTAGAAAATGCTTATGTCTGGCTGTTTTAACCATTCTGTGATGTCCTGGGCACAAGAAATACTAACAGAAGCTTGAGCCTACTGCCTTCTCATGTTCTCCACAGAATCATATTGTCAGTTTCTGGTTGATAGATAACTAGATGAACAGATTCTGGGCTGATGAGCCCTAGTCAGAGGCATCATGAGGTGGCATCTGAGGCCCACAGTGAGCTAGGATCTAGACTGAACAGTTATTGTTCTGCTGCAGAAGGTGGGATTGGATCACTGAGCTGTATACATTGTGACCTCTGGGAACTTCTCTCTGTCCCCTCAGGGGCACAGTGACCCTATGAGCAACAGAACACCCAGGAAGTTCCCATAGCCTACAACAGCAGCAAGCTAGAAGATTCTATTCTTTCTCTCAGTCCTAATTTTCTTTTTCTTTCTTTCTTTCTTTCTTTCTTTCTTTCTTTCTTTCTTTCGTTCTTTCGTTCTTTCGTTCTTTCGTTCTTTCGTTCTTTCGTTCTTTCGTTCTTTCGTTCTTTCTTTCTGTTTTTTGAGATGGAATCTCACTCTGTTGCCAGGCTGGAGTGCAGTGGCTCAATCTCAGCTCACTGCAAGCTCCACCTCCACGGTCCTGATTTCTAGGCAACTCTTCTGCCCGTATTCTATGAATCAAGTGAAGTGTTATAGAGGGTGGCTTAATTAAAGTAAATCCCCTGCCTCCAGCTCTCTCTGTCTCAGAAGTCCCAATCCAGTCCTCCCCCATCCCAATAGTGGAGTCCTGATGTCCCTCTACCTGGATCTGCTTTTTTCTAGCTTCGAAGTTCCTTCAACAAAGCGTTCAGTATAAAAAAGGGGCCCAAGTCAGCTTCCTCATACTCGGATATAGAGGAGATTGCTACACCCGACTCCTCAGCTCCCTCATCCCCCAAACTACAGCATGGTTCTACGGAGACTGCTTCACCCTCCATCAAGTCGTCCACCTCATCCTCCGTGGGCACTGATGTCACCGAGTAAGTGCTCTCTGGCTCCCTGCCACCCAGCCTGTTACCAGCGTAAGCTGCGGGCTAGAGTTGACAGGAGGCCATTAGACCTTAAACAAGCAGTACTTATTACTGACCTCTCCCTGGGCATATGAGACCAACATATGGACCTTTCTTCTCATACTGATTGAGTATCTATGGGCAGGAGGAGCCAAGACCACCAACCATGCCTCTTCATATTCTCTAGTAACTCTACTGCTTCTTCATGTAGCTTGGCTTAACTCTTGCTATCTTACAGGGGCCCCGCTCACCCAGCCCCCCACACTAGGCTGTTCCATGCAAATGAGGAGGAGGAGCCAGAGAAGAAGGAGGTATCGGAGCTGCGTTCTGAGCTATGGGAGAAGGAAATGAAGCTTACAGACATCCGCTTGGAGGCCCTCAACTCTGCCCACCAACTGGATCAGCTTCGGGAGACCATGCACAACATGCAGGTCAGCATCTGGGCAGACAGCTGCAGGAAAGGGAAGACCAAGGTTTGCTACTGTCCAATCTGCCACCCTACCCTATCTGTTCTCACCACAGTTGGAGGTGGACCTGCTGAAAGCAGAGAATGACCGGCTGAAGGTAGCCCCAGGCCCCTCATCAGGCTCCACTCCAGGGCAGGTCCCTGGATCATCTGCGTTATCTTCCCCGCGCCGCTCCCTGGGCCTGGCACTCACCCATTCCTTCAGCCCCAGTCTTGCAGACACAGGTACCTGTGCGGGTGAAGAATCTATAAGGGTGAAGGGAAGAAAGGGGCTTATTTCAGTGTTACACTATTGCACTGCCTCTGGTCAGAGAGGTAACAGTGCCCAAGTCAAGCAGATGCCAGTGTCCTGAGACACTGAGTTGTAATGGTCCTTCAACCTTAACTACTTTTGAGCTTAGAACCTCCATTCCTTCTCTGTGGCAAATAGAATTATTTGGAAAGGATAGTGATTGGAAAGTTTAGGAAAGGCTGCAGGTACTCCTAAAACCAGTTGGTTCTTTTCAATCCCCACAGACCTGTCACCCATGGATGGCATCAGTACTTGTGGTCCAAAGGAGGAAGTGACCCTCCGGGTGGTGGTGAGGATGCCCCTGCAGCACATCATCAAAGGGGTAAGGAACTTCAGGGAGAGCCCCAGTGGGAACAAACAAATACTGTTACATTTATCCAAGAAAATCTGGGCCCCGGGTACCTCCAAAACCAAAGAACTCAACTCCTAAGGCCTTTAGGACCCCGGTTCATGGAGTCATCTGCAGTGAAGCTCAAGAGCTTTTCCTTCCTTGGCTTTACAGGACTTGAAGCAGCAGGAATTCTTCCTGGGATGTAGCAAGGTCAGTGGAAAAGTTGACTGGAAGATGCTGGATGAAGCTGTTTTCCAAGTGTTCAAGGTAAAGGGATACCTGTACTCAAAAAGGTTGCTCATCCTCTCATGGGATATATATACTTTTTTAGAGATGGAGTCTCACTCTTGTCACCCAGGCTGGAGGGCAGTGGCGTGATCACAGCTCACTGCAGCCTTGAACTCCTGGGCTTAAGTAATTCTCCTGTCACAGCCTCCTGAGTAGCTGGGATTACAAGCATGTGCCAGCATACATGGCTTCTCATGGGATATTAAGCCATCCAGGCACTGGGACCCTGGGGACCTTTGAGGCTTTATGGAGAAATGCTGCCTAGGAAAAGCACATGCTCTGCACTTTCTCCATCTACTTCTGTTTCCTCTGATAGACATTCTTTGTTGTAGCTTTTACACCTGTGTTTGTATATTTTCTTCTTGTTCTGCCTGTCTTTCCTGTCAGGACTATATTTCTAAAATGGACCCGGCCTCTACCCTGGGACTAAGCACTGAGTCCATCCATGGCTACAGCATCAGCCACGTGAAACGAGTGTTGGATGCAGAGCCCCCCGAGATGCCTCCTTGCCGTCGAGGTGTCAATAACATATCAGTCTCCCTCAAAGGTCAGTCTTTGTCTCTTGGGGTGAGGTGGTGTGGCATGAAGGCAGGGACAGGATCATCAAATAATCCGTCATGCATTCATTCACCAAGAACTCACTGAGAAGGTATAATATGAAGATGCTTAAGTAATGTGAGATATAAAAAGATGAGTAAGACTTAGTCCTAACTTTGGCTCCCAGGGAGACTTTTGCTAAGCCTAGGATTTTTACTTCGCTCCTCACCCCCAGCTCAGAGCATGTCCCTAAAAAGATATAAGTTTTCAAAACTGGGGGTTAAGGGACTCTTATGGAACCATGGGGCAAGTGGCTCTGAGTTTCTTCAGGGGGCTCCTAGATGAAGAAAGAAAAGCCCTTTAGGATCCCTTGCTATCCTCAAGACCCTGGTCAAGACTCGTGCTTTCTGGGGTGGGGGTTTAGGTCTGAAGGAGAAATGCGTCGACAGCCTGGTGTTTGAGACGCTGATCCCCAAGCCGATGATGCAGCACTACATAAGCCTCCTGCTGAAGCACCGGCGCCTCGTCCTCTCGGGCCCCAGCGGCACGGGCAAGACCTACCTGACCAATCGCTTGGCCGAGTACCTGGTGGAGCGCTCTGGCCGTGAGGTCACGGAGGGCATCGTCAGCACCTTCAACATGCACCAGCAGTCTTGCAAGGTGGCTACCCCCCGACACCCCCATCAGCCTTTGTTCATGCCTGAGCCTTCCCCAAGACCTTTCCCCAGCCCCTTCCTGCCTCATTGTTCCCTTTTCCTCACCTCTGCCTTCATCTTTCTTCTCCTCTTCTGTGTTCATTTCCTTCCCTCTCTGTCTATCCCCTTTTCCAGTCTTCTCCTTTCCCTCCCCACAATTTCTTTCCAACGTCTTGCCCTTAACTTGTTTCTCCACACTTTCCCTTGCCTTTGTGCACCTTCCTCTTCAGTTGGTCATTGATGAAACTGCATCCTCCTCATTTCTACCCCACTCTCTGCCAGCCCCGTCAATCCATCCCTTCTCTTTTGTTCTCTTCCTTCTACTTGTCTTCTCAGTATTACTCTCTGACCTTGGCCTTTCTGGGAAGAAGCACTCAGAATTAAATGGTACATATTGTACCCTCCCCTGCCAAAACCTGATGTCTCTTGAGCACACCCTAATACTATGGAGTTGGTTCAAATCTTTGCTCTTACCAGCTGGGGGAGGCATGCCCGTTAACAGTAGTCCGTGGTACCTGTGAAAATCCACCTAGGAAATAGCATATGTCCCCGACCTTTGGGGAATTTTGGGGCTGCTGCTTAAGAGGGTTGCTTTAGAGCCTTTGGAACCACTGCTTATCACTGTGGTAATCTGATTCTATAATCAAATTTCCAAGGAACTAAAGGCCCCAGGGGAATCTAGATAGTAAAACTTCTTCAAAATCCTGATTTCCAAGGCTAATCCAGCTGCTTATTCCCAAGTGTGGACCCACAGCCTTCTTTTATTCCAGGATCTGCAACTGTATCTTTCCAACCTGGCCAACCAGATAGACCGGGAAACAGGAATTGGGGATGTGCCCCTGGTGATCCTATTGGATGACCTGAGTGAAGCAGGCTCCATCAGTGAGTTGGTCAATGGGGCCCTCACCTGCAAGTATCATAAATGGTAAGTAAGCTGGGGTCGAGACAAAACTCACCGAAGCGGGAGGAGGGAGAACCCGTCCAGGACAACCTATGAGTTGTGTGCACGTGGCAGAAAGCAAGTGTGAAGACAAGTCTAAGTGAATCTTTTTCCCCTTTCTCCCTACAGTCCCTATATTATAGGTACCACCAATCAGCCTGTAAAAATGACACCCAACCATGGCTTGCACTTGAGCTTCAGGTAAGAACTCTGGCTCTGGATGAACCTTCTGACCCTATCCAAGAGTCTTCAATCCTGGACTCTGGCCAGAAGGCAGTAGATAGGAGAAGGAAAGAGAAGTATCCAGAGCTTTTTGGGCTGGAAAGAGAAAGTAGATGTATTTGTCATGTCAGTTTCAAGGTGGAGGAGGACACTTGAGGAGAGAAAAGGACTGCAAAGCTAAGAGAGAGACAGGTAGGTTGCTCTAAGCAGAATTAGGAAATTCTCTGTCCGCACACGCTGATCTGGGTCAGTGATGTCAGAAGGTTATCTGAAGAGGGCTACCGATTTGAGAATCAGCTCTACCACCCCAGGGCTGCTGCTCTGAGTTCAGATGTCCCCGCTATTACTTGAAAAGAACCGAGTAGGCATTAGTGAGAAGGAGGGACGGACTGGCAGGGGCTGAACCCTGACAATGTCCCCATTGCCACTCTGACCCCACTTTCCCCATCCTTGGTGGCAGGATGTTGACCTTCTCCAACAACGTGGAGCCAGCCAATGGCTTCCTGGTTCGTTACCTGAGGAGGAAGCTGGTAGAGTCAGACAGCGACATCAATGCCAACAAGGAAGAGCTGCTTCGGGTGCTCGACTGGGTACCCAAGCTGTGGTATCATCTCCACACCTTCCTTGAGAAGCACAGCACCTCAGACTTCCTCATCGGTACTGGGGTCCAGCTTCCCCCTGGGGGTCAGGAGGTGGCTTCCCTTTTCCACTGTACCACCTGGAGGGATGCTCCCTTTCCTTCCTGGACTTCTCAGCATGTAAAGGAGCTGCAAGCCTTGTGGCTTCAGACTTAGAACCACTTAACAAGCCTTCCCAACACAGCACCACTTCAATCACCAGAAAGCTAACTCCTCTCCCTGGTTTTTTCCCAAAATTAACAGAAAAAAAGGAGGGCACATATGTAGGAGGGAATTAAACAGCTTTCCTCACTCCCTTATCTCACGTCTACCTTGTGAAGCAGGACTTATGAGATTGCCATCTAGGCAGTCAGCACCCACTAATCTTGACAACTCTAAATTTCCTTTAATCCTTTGGCTGTCAGACCCCTCTGTCTGGTACTAAGGAGTAAAAGAGGCACAAAACTGGGAAGATCTAGGTTCCCAGCTGTCTTCATGGCCTCATCCTCTTCCCTAGGCCCTTGCTTCTTTCTGTCCTGTCCCATTGGCATTGAGGACTTCCGGACCTGGTTCATTGACCTGTGGAACAACTCTATCATTCCCTATTTACAGGAAGGAGCCAAGGATGGGATTAAGGTGAGCCCCACCCTCTTCACTCAAACCCCAAGATCAGGCTGTCCTACCTAACAAAGTAGAAATGTTTCTTTAATGTTAGGCATGGGACTACTGGGATTAGTTAGGTTCTCTTTCTACCAGGTGGAGCAAGGCACTAGAAAGACTAAGCTGCTTCCTGCCTCCATCTGCCATTCAGCAAATGGCATAATGACCACTGCCTCTGGGGCCATCTCTCCAGCCCTAGGCCTTCTGGCTCTAAGTCCAATTTAAACCACTCTCTAGGAGTCAGAGCACACAGAAAAATAATTGAGCCAAGAATTAAGTAAAACGCTAATTTAAAAAAAAAAAAAAAAAACCTCAGTTTAGCTACTTACTAACTACTAATAAGTATGTTATATTGACCAAGTTACTTTTTAAATATCCTCCTATGTAAAAAAAAAAAAAAAAAAAAAGGAGGTATCACCTTCTGCTCTACCTAAATCACTGGAGTCTTTTGAAGACAAAATGAAATATGTAAAAAGATTTTTAAAAGTTAGAATAAGGAGGCTGGGCACAGTGGCTCACGCCTGTAATCCCAGCATTTTGGGAGGCTAAGGCAGGTGGATCACGAGGTCAGGAGATCAAGACCATCCTGATGAGACCCTGTCTCTACTAAAAATAGAAAAAATTAGCCAGGCTAATTTTTTTTTTGTAGTCCCAGCTACTCGGGAGGCTGAGGCAGGAGAATGGCGTGAACCCAGGAGGCGGAGCTTGCAGTGAGCTGAGATGGCGCCACTGCACTCCAGCCTGGGCAACAGAGCGAGACTCTGTCTCAAAAAAAAAAAGTTAGAATAAGGCCAGGCCCAGCAGCTCTCGCCTATAATCCCAGCATTTCAGAAAGCTGAGGCGAGAGGACTACTTGAGCCCAGGAGCTTGGGCAACATGGAAGACCCTGTCTCTACAGAAAATAAAAAAAATTAGCCAGGCATGGTGGTGCACACGTGTAGTCCAGCTACTCTGGAGGGTGAGGCCAGAAGATCACTTGAGCCCAGGATATGTAGGCTACAGTGAGCCATGTTCTCACCACTATACTCCAGCCTGGGCAACAGAGTGAGACCCTCTCTCAAAAAAAAATAACAATTAAAATTAAAAGTTAGAATAAAAACTTAGTGCAAAAGAAACATGTCCTTTTTTTTTAAACCACCTCAATTTTCTTACCTGTAAATTAGAGTATAATGATCACTAAAGTCCATTTCAGCACTAATAAACTGTGATGTAATTGTTAGACCCAACTGGTCATATATTATCTGTAAAAGTAATTTGTTATTGAGATAGGTATCTCCCGGTGATATAGTAAATTTCTAAAGATACTGTCAGACTGATGCCAGAAATCATTATTTCATTTATAAATTATGTTATTTTAAGGAAATGTTGCATTATTATTAATAGCTTTTCAATTTAAAAGCATTTTCACACAGATAACATTTGTTTTCAAGAAAGTAAAAAAAAATTAAGTGTTATGACTAAAGTGGAAAAATTTCCTACTTGAAAAATGAAATTGCAGGGTCATAAGATTTGTGCATGTTAAGTTTTAATGCAACCTAGGCATCCATCAGTAGATGAATTGATAAAGAAAATGTGGTATATATACACATGATGGAAAATTATTCAGTTGTAAAAAAGAAGGAAATTCAAAGCCAGGCTTGATGATGCATGCCTGTAGTCCCAGCAGCTACTCTGGAAGCTGAGGCGAGAGGATCCCTTGAGACCAGGAGTTAAAGTCTAGCCTAGGCAACATAGAGAGACCTTGTCTCTTAAAAAAAGGTAGGGTGGTTGGGGGATGGGGAAGAAATTCTGTCATTTACAACAACATGGATAAATCTGGAGGACATTACGTTAAGTGAAATAAGGCAGGCATAGAAAGACAAATACTGTATGATCTCACTTATACATGGAATCTAATGAAGTCAAACTCAGAGCAGCAGAAAGTAGAATGATGGTTACCAGAGGCTGGGCATGGGGGTAGGTGGGTAGTAGTGGTTGAGGAGATGTTAGTCAAAGGATACAAAATTTCAGTTAGACAGGAGGAATAAGTTCAAGAGATATATTGTACAATGTGGTGACTATAGTTAATAACAATGTATCATATACTTGAAAATCACTAAGAGAAAAGTTTCTATTTATTTTTTTGAGATGGAATTTCACTCTTATGCCCAGGCTGGAGTACAATGGCGCGATTTCGGCCCACTGCAACCTTCACCTCCTGGGTTTAAGCGATTCTCCTGCCTCAGCCTTCCAAGTAGCTGAGATTAACAGGCATGAGCTACCACACCTGGCCGAGAATAGATTTTAAGTGTTCTCACCACACACACAAAAATACGTGAGGTAAAAGCCAGGCGCAGTGGCTCACGCCTGTTAATCCCAGCACTTTGGGAGGCCAAGGCAGATGGATCATCTGAGGTCAGGAGTTCAAGACCAATCTGACCAACATGATGAAACCCCGTCTCTACTACATACAAAAAATTAGCCCAGTGTGGTGGCGCATGCCTGTAATCCCAGCTAGTTGGGAGGCTGAAGCAGGAGAATCGCTTGAACCCAGGAGGCACAGATTGCAGTGAGCCAAAATTTAACCATTGCACTCCAGCCTGGGCAACAAGAGCAAAACTCTCTCTGGGAAAAAAATATATGTGAGGTAATACATATGTTAATTAGCTTGATTTAGCCATCCCACAGCAAATACATGTTTCATAACATCATGTTATACATCATAAATGCATATAATTTTTGTTGATTAAAAAATAAAATTTGAAAAAATAAAAATTAAATATTTTTTAAAGTTTTAATACAATCTGCTAAATTGTCCTCCAAAATTATCTTACAATTTATACCAACTTATTTCCTTGTTTGGAAACTCAGGAAAACTCCACAGAAAGCAGAGCCTCAAGAATTTACATTTGAGGAAGTGCACCTTCTTTTTTTTTTTTTTTTTTTTTGAGGCAGTCTTGCTCTGTCATCGAGGCTGGAGTGCAGTGGCTCACTGCAACCTCCACAGGTTCAAGTGATTCTCCTGCCTCAGCCTCCCAAGTAGGTAGGATTATACAGGCACACACTGCCATGCTTGGCTAATTTTTTTTTATTTTTTATTTTTAGCAGAAACAGGGTTTCACCACATTATCCAGGCTGATCTCGAACTTCTGACCTCAAGTGATCTGCCCACCTTGGCCTCCCTAAGTGCTGGGATTACAGGCATGAGCCACTGTGCCCGGCCAGGAAGTGCACATTTTTAAGGAGCACACTTTTTGTAGGAACTACCAAGAGACTGCATGAACAAGCCTCTAATCTGTGAATTCCCCACAGTAATCATATTTCACCTTCTTTCCAGGTCCACGGACAGAAAGCCGCTTGGGAGGACCCAGTAGAATGGGTCCGGGACACACTTCCCTGGCCATCAGCCCAACAGGACCAATCAAAGCTGTACCACCTGCCCCCACCCACTGTGGGCCCTCACAGCATTGCCTCACCTCCTGAAGATAGGACAGTCAAAGATAGCACGCCTAGTTCTCTGGACTCAGATCCTCTGGTGAGTAGAAGCCACTCTAGAGTAAAAATAAGACTATTATAGAACTGAATTATTGACCAGCAGGGTGGCTCACACCTGTAATCCCAGCACTTTGAGAGGCTGAAGTAGGAGGATTGTTTGAGTTCAAAATCAGCCTGGGCAACATAATGAGACCCTGCCTGTATTTCAAAAAAGAAAAAAATAAGTTTAAAAAAACCCTGACTTTTTCACACTTTTCATGCATACACTGATGGGGGCCTGGAGAGTAAAGAGTGAGTACTAGCAAGGCCAGGACCAGGCTGAGACCAGTGAGGAGCTCTGAATATCAGAATCTGGGGTTATAAAGATCATATGCTTGAGACCTGGCTTAAGCTAAATAATAATGCATCCCAGCAAGATGTATTCTAGCAAAGACCCACGTGTCAGGTAGATCCCATGATGTAGGAATATCAACCAAAGAAGTAGAGCAGTAGTGCACACTAGCACTCTCTCTACTTCTGCTTCTCCTCTGACACTATCCTGAAGACTACTTCAGCTAAATGAGTTCATGTACCAGTTATCATTGAAGCAATCATCATTGCCTTTTCACAAACCACTCTAAACTCTGACATCTTCATCACTGAGAAACCAAGAATCAGACCCATGATCTAGATTTTTTTTTATTTTTGGAGACAGAGTCTTGCTCTTTCATCTAGGCTGGAATGCAATGATGATATCAAAGCTCACTGCTACCTCAAACTCCTAGGCTTATAGGCTTGCGTCATCCTCCCACTTGGGCTTCGGCATCCTGAGTAGCTAGGACTATACTTGTGTGCCACCACGCCTGGCTATCAGGGGAACCCGCCCCCGATAGTCATCGTGGGTTCTTTTCTATTTCCCTAAGCATCGGCTGGTCTGAAAAATAAAGGGAAAGAGTACAAAAGAGAGAAATTTTAAAGCTGGGTGTCCAGGGGAGACATCACATGTCAGCAGGTTCCATGATGCCCCCCTTAGCCGTAAAACCAGCAAGTTTTTATTAGCGATTTTCACAAGGGGAGGGAGTGCACGAATAGGGTGTGGGTCACAGAGATCACATGCTTCACAAGGTAATAAAATATCACAAAGCAAATGGAGGCAGGAAGAGAGATCACAGGACCACCGGGCGAAATTAAAATTGCTAATGAAGTTTCGGGCACGCATTGTCATTGATAACATCTCATCAGGACACAGGGTTTGAGAGCAGATGACTGGTCTGACCAAAATTTATTAGGCGGGAATTTCCTCATCCTAATAAGCCTGGGAGCGCCATGGGAGACTGGGGCTTATTTCATCCCTTTGTCTATGACCGTAAAAGACAGCTGCCCCCAAAGCAGCCATTTTAGAGGCCTACCCTTAGGGGCGCATTCTCTTTCTCAGGGATGTTCCTTGCTGAGAAAAAGAATTCAGCGATATTTCTCCTATTTGCTTTTGAAAGAAGAGAAATATGGCTCTCTTCTGCCCGGCTAACCCGCAGTCAGAGTTTAATCTCCCTTGTTCCCTGAACATTGCTGTTATCCTGTTCTTTTTTCAAGGTGCCCAGATTTCATATTGTTCAAACACACATGCTCTACAAGCAATTTGCAATTAATGCAATCATCACAGGGTCCTGAGGCGACATACATCCTCCTCAGCTTATGAAGATAATGGAATTAAGAGATTAAAGACAGGCATAGGAAATCACAAGGGTATTGATTGGGGAAGTGATAAGTGTCCATGAAATCTTCACAATTTATGTTCAGAGATTGCAGTAAAGACAGGCGTAAGACATTATAAAAGTATTAATTTGGGGAACTAATAAATGTCCATGAAATCTTCACAATTTATATTCTGCCATGGCTTCAGCCAGTCCCTCCATTCGGGGTCCCTGCCTTCCCACAACATCTGGCCGATTTTCTTTTCTTTTTTTTTTTTTTTTTTTTGGTAGAGACAGGGTCTCTCTCTGTTTTCAAGGCTGATCGCAAACTCCTGGCTTCAAGCTATCCTTCCACCTTGGCCTCCCAAAGTGTTGGGATTTTGTTGTTGTTTCCCTTCTGTAGGCAGGACCCAGAGTCCCAACTCTCATAAATCCATCTTTTTGCCCCTCTTTAGATGGCCATGCTGCTGAAACTTCAAGAAGCTGCCAACTACATTGAGTCTCCAGATCGAGAAACCATCCTGGACCCCAACCTCCAGGCAACACTTTAAGGGTTCGGCAATCACTGTCACCCCCGGACAGCAGAACGCTGGCATCAGCTATCTTAGCTCCTCCTCTCCCCTCTCCTCTTTCAGAGCACTGGCTCTCCAGCCCCAGGAGGAGAACAGGAGGGAGGAGGAGATGAAAGAGGAGGGACAGGTTCTTGGTGCTCTACCTTTGAAAACTTCCTAGTAAGGAATGGTGGGGTGGCGTTTGGGAGCTTGTGCCCCCTAAACACATATACTGGCCTCCTCTAATGACTTTGGGGAAAAGATGATTCTGGGTCTTTCCCTTGACTTCTTGTTTCAATTACAAACTCCTGGGCTTTCTGGGGAGGGGTTCAGAAAACATCAAAACACTGCAGCAGTTCCTAAACGATTCTCACAAGCAACCCTGAAAGAGACAGTCATGTGAGGGGGATCTGGGGGAGGCAGGAAGCTCCCCAGATTTTCTCACAGACCCTTCCCAATTCCATCACCACTGCCAACAACTCCTCCCCCAGAGATCTGGCTGGAGCCCAGAAAAAGAAGCATGTGGTTTAAAAAATGTTTAAATCAATCTATAAAAGGTAAAAATGAAAAACAAAAACAAGCAAACAAACAAAAAACAATGGAAAAGATGAAGCTGGAGAGAGAGGAACCAGTTGCCAAGGTAGAAAGACAGCTGCCCGCTCCTGCCCTCTGGATGACATAGGGGACATCAACAAGATGGCTGCCAACCTGAGAAGTCACCAAACCACAAAAATAACCTTACAGCCTTCAGAGAAAGACTACCAGCTCTGTCTTTCTACCCTCTAATTTAACATGCATGAGAGTCAATAAACCCTTTTTTATTTTTGTTTTTTATTTTGTTTTCATTTTTTTCTCCCATTTGCCTATTTATTTTTTTTTCTTTTCCCTTTTTTTTCTTTTTCTTTTTCCATTTTTCCATTTCCTCACATATCCACGAGATGCTTGGGTTGCTTTTCCAGGGGCTAGTTTGGCTTTTCCAAGTGGGTTTTCTTTGGAGAATCTGACGCCATATAATTGGCATGACACCTGCCATGCCAATATCTTTGGCATCCATGGGGCTTATATGAGACATGAAGCATTGGCTTGAAAGTAGAGGGAGAAGAGGAACCCAGTTCCCTTGACTTCCCTTTTGAGAAAGCACATGTTCTGCTAGGTAGCTCAGTTGCCATCCTCTGTCACGAGAGGGTATAGCCTCATCTTGATAGAAGAGCTACTCTGAGCTTTATCATGGACCAGAGGAAAACCAGGAAATTGAAAACATTCCTCTGTCTTGTGGCCAGTTTGGCCTTTCACTGCACTATTCTGATGGTGCCTGACTGAATCAAAATATCCTAGCTGGCTCTTACTATTTTTCACAAGTAAGTATTCACATTTAAGAGACTGAATATCCATGTGAGATCATCCCAATCAGAATATAAGACTCAAGGAGTTTGACTTGGTGGCCAATACCTGCCTTCCAAAGAGATCCTACCTTTGCAGATTTGCTCCTTTCCCATTGCCTCAAAGGTCTGGCAATCCCTGTTCTTTCATTTGACAAGTACTTACTGAGTACTCACTATGTACAAATCATTAGGTTAACACACACACACACACACACACACACACACACACACACACAAGACTTGGGCCCTTAAGTTTACAGTCCAATAGGAAGTGTTAACCTCCATTAAGCTACGCGCCCTTGTTATCTAGACCTTCGGGATCATCTAAGAAATGTAGCTGAAACCCAAGGAGCCAGCTAGAAAGAAGCTTTTGATTAGATGTACAATTTGTTGGGGACAGAAGATCTGGGATCAATTAAGATGGCACCTGAAGGACTGTGGAATCTTGTTTGTCAGGAGTGGGCAAGTCTACTTCCTGCCATTTCTGAAAGCCCCGTGGGACCAGCTTCCTGGCTGAGCTGCCTGGTAGGCTGAAGCTTCAGGACTCTGCAGATCAGGGATATGTGATGAGCACCGGCCTAAGTGTTTGCTCTTCAGATTCCTAAGTAGCACAAGACTTTATTAAAATCTATAGGCATACCAGCCTGGATAACTCTGTTCCACCCAACCGAGGAGTAGATGCATCTGAATCTTCATATCGGTATATTTTCATTTAGGTCCAAAAGATGGTCCAGGCTGCCCCTCACAAAAGCTTCTGCATTCACGTGGTAAGCTCCCAGGGATGACAGGGTTCTGTATGATGGAGACTATTATTGCTATTGCTGCTAATTCCATGAGCTGTGAAGATCCCTAACCAACTCAGCTGTAACATATGCAATTCTGTGGTGGGAAGAGGCTGTGTGTCCAAGGATGGTGCTGAAATCACTGCCTTAAGGTCTCTGCTGTGCAGAATGAGGAGGCCCCGGAGCTGGCTGTTCTAACTTAGAAGGAAGAGAAGACTAGATGGGCCTGCTTGGGATCTAGGTCTCTTCTAAACCCCTATCCTAAGCTCCAGTTCCATGGCAAGGCTCAGACTTCGCTTCACTCTATTTTCTGGTGCTGCCCAGCCAGTGCCTTCTGCCATGGATGTTACTGGCTACTTGAGAAAAAGGAGAGGGGAGAACCCCTTCTTTCGTTCCAACTGCCTCCAACCCCAAAGGGATTCTTGGCTCTCTGATAACCATGGATACCACCGTGAATTTTATTTGGATCCTCAGCAGGTTGATTCTGGAGGCCTCATGCCTTGACTTTTTATTTCTCTTCCTGGGATCCACCACCCTCTACTCTCAGCTGACTGCTGCGTTTAGCCCAGGTCTCCAATTGCTTTCCTCCAGAAAGTGTGTTCCCATCTAGTGAGGTGGTATTGAAGCCTTGGCTTTCCCTCTGGAGCCTGGGACCCTGTTTACAGTTGCACATCCGGGCCCCTCACTGTGGGGATCGATCATTCTCATGAAGGAATCATGGTTATATGGCAACTGCAGAAGGCTGAGCCTCCTCATGGTGCTATAACCCCTTGGGACACTCATCCAGACTTCTCTGAAGCAGAAAACCTGAGCTCCCCACTCACTGCCCTAGAATTTATGGCAAGGAGCAAATCCACAGCATTCTCTCCCACCTATGTCCTGCTTCTTGGTTGAACCTACTGGGATCCCTCAGAAAAGAAACACTGGGTCCCATAGCTAAATTCTCAACCCCCAGGCACCTTCAGAAGAATCCAGCCTAATACTGGAATTTGTGCTATTATCTTCCTCTCCAGCCCCCCCAACTCCATCCCTCACCACAGTTGGCTAGGAAATGACATGAGTTCAATATCTAATGTCAACCATTGGGGAGAGCCACAACTCCAGGAGAGGTTCCTGAGCTGAGTCCCTTAATTTCTGGATGAAGAAGATCAACAAGTTTTGTCCAATGTACTTGTTTCTCAGACCTTTCTTAGGCACTAAAAATAAAATACTAGGTCATTGGAGGCTAATTTGGGGCCTGATGTCTGTGTGTGTGTGTGTGTGTGTGTGTGTGTGTGTGTGTCTCCCTCTCTCACACAAAAGCAGTATACTGTTGCTGTTTCCTACCTTCTGAGGCTTCAAAGTATTTTTTAAAATCTATGCTTTGTGGCAGCTCTACGGTGCTTATCTCTGTCTTTGTGTCAATCCTTAAGTACCCATGTCTTTTTCATGTCTAACCATTGGGAAGGGAGAGGCTGGCAGGGAAGATGAATCTGCTACAAGTCCATGGGAAGACCCTACAATGAAATCCTTATTGGTTGGTATACTCTTTTGGTCTTGAATTGCCAACCTTCCAGCTGATCTATCCATACTACTTAAGTACTAAAGACAAAAATAGAGGGCTTTTTTTTCCTTCTTAATGTCTTGCCTTCTGGTTTTCCTGGCTTGCAAGACTAAGTGTACCTAATCTCACCATCTCTTCACTTCTAGCTCCCTAAAACAAGGGTCACACTACTCCGAGGGATAACCCCTTACAGTGGTCTGAGGAGTAACTATTTCCTAAAGTATTCTAAAAGAGAAGGAAGAGAGAAATGGTACCCTGCTGCTTCTCACAGACACCTCACATCCTCACTTGGGATGGCATTCACATAGAAATCCCGCATTTAGGTAAAATTTGCCTGACTGAAGGGGACTCAGTCCTCCAAATCAGGATCAAGGAGGTATCTACGTGAGACCTTAAAAACTCTTTATTGCCATTAGTTGGAGAGGGTGGGGGAATTGTCCTAATCGCACATCTAACACAGGGAATAAGTGTCTAACACAGGGAATAAGTGCTGAAGTTACTCAGCAGTTGGAGGGGTGGGGAATTGTCCTAATCGCACATCTAACACAGGGAATAAGTGCTGAAGTTACCCAGATCACCAAGTACGGCTCCTCATCATACTTTATTTTTGCTTTCCTTATTCCTTGGCACTGACTAAGCTAAAGTTAAGAAGCAGACTTCATAAGCCAACCCCTGTGGTGGGATGGGAAAATGGGCTTTTGCAGAGGGTTTGTTAATAGAGATGGATTTACTACTCACAAGTTCTGGTTCATGGCTCCACTGAGAAGGCCATAGTAATAAAATGATCTTACGAACATTGTTCCCCAAAGGCCAAAGCCTGAAGATATTGTCCCTTATTATCCAATCAGCCTTATATTTTAATGAGTCCTGAATCAACCTGATTATGGATATATGGTGCCACCAACTTGACACTCCCCACTGTCTAGGGTAGGTACATGGGTGCATGTCTGCTCAGCCTAGCCTTGGAAGCGAGCACTGCCAGCCACAGATCCTGGGAAAGGTGGTAGTAACCTGGAAGATGTTGTAGCCTTGAAGGTAGGATACCTATGAAAATGCCAAAGCTGCAGGGACACGAAGACAGTTGAAAATTCAACCTATGTGTACTAGATCCTTCCAGTTTGATGGTTTGGTCATTCTTCTTCATGATTATACCATGGAGAATTTTCTGTGACAAGGGTGGTCATGGAAGTAAGTGAGTGATCCCCTGGTTTCTCATTCCTTAAAGCAGTGGTTCTCAAAGTATGGCACAAGACCAGCAGCATCAGCAGCATTTGGAAACTTGTTAGAAACAAAATTCTCAATCCCATCCAGATCTGCTGAATCAGAAACTCTAGTGAGAGGACCCAGCAATCCATATTTTAATAAACCCTCCTGGTGATTCTGATGCACACTAAATTCAACTATTTTAAAGGGAAAGCCCTTTAGAGTATCGGAGTTCCCACACCGAGAGGCTTTGGGGCCCAAAATAACAAGGTTCTAGGTTGTAATTCAGACTTTAATTTCAAAGTCACCTTTCTCATGCTTCCTTGTGTTTCTGTTTTTCCATTTATTTTAACAAAGAAAGGTATGTGTGCTTTTGGGTGGAAGTTAGGAGAATGTTTGCATCTTTCCTAGTTGAATACAACCTTCAGAGGAAAACCTTATGCCTCGGAAATTACTAGCTGGCACACTAAGGGGCTTCAACAAGGAAAGCATTTGGAGGTCTCTTCCAGATTGCTCTTCTGCCGAATTATTTATATCTATTCTGAGCTGATTATGTAATAGGATGGAAAAAGTTAAAAAAAAAAAATCGAATTTGTATTTCCATGATGTGTTCTCCCAGTAACATCCCTCTCCTTTATTTGAGTTATAAAGGGCACTGCTGGGCCTGAGAACTGGGCCAGAACCTCCTTCTGTACGGCAGCTAACAGTGTAGGGCTCCAGTATCCCAGGAAGGCCCCTTATTCACACTCCACTCAGCTCATAGGAGAGTCTTGCGTAATGAAGACACAGCCCTGGGCACTTCAGTCCTTGTGCTCCTCCTCTCTTTTCCCCATAGCAGGACCTGGATACGGAAGTACTCAGCCAAGGTGATAGAATAAAATCATATTTTTTTTTGTTTTTTTGTTTGTTTTTGGTTTTTTTTTTTGGAGAAGGAGTCTTGCTGTGTCACCCAGGCTGAAGTCCAGTGGCACGATCTCGGCTTATTGCAACGCCTCCCAGGTTCAAGCGATTCTCCTGCCTCAGCCTCCTGAGTAGCTGGGATTACAGACGTGCGCCATCATGCCCAGCTAATTTTTGTATTTTTAGTAGAGACGGAGTTTTGCCTTGTTGGCCAGGCTGGTCTCGATCTCCTGACCTCAGGTGATCCGCCTGCCTTAGCCTCCCAAAGTGCTGGGATTACAGGCATGAGCCACAGCACCCTGCCAAATAAGATCCTTTTTTAGAAAAATTTGAAAAAAGCTTCATATCTTTACGAACTCACAAAGTAGCTGATTGGGCCATGGGGGAGATGAGGCTTTTTAGAACTGGTTTTGTTTCAAGTTTGTCAATTTTCCATGTGTGAGAACTTGGGCAGAGCACAAAGAAACATACAGTGCTAGTAATAGGTCTCCTGAGCTCTGGAACTGTTTGGAGGAGGACTAAAGCACGGGGGAGGTGAGTACAAAATAATTCCACTAAAATCACCTCCTCAGTCCCCAGAAGGCTGATGGTGGATGCTCTGGCCGTCTCCTGTGGGTTCTTCCTGCTTCTCTGCCATTTCTCTATGCCTGAAGACACGAAGATGATATCAAGGCAGAGCTCCCATATCGCAGCCAGTCTCTGGGCCACTGCTGTGCAGTGGCTCCCACTTTCTAATGCTTTTTTGTTTTTGCTTTTTCTAACAAAACAATCTTTTTTTTAAATGAATTCCAACCCCTGCTAGCCTCCTTCCCCGCCTCCATACTGTTTTAGGCAGCACCGTTTATGTGACAGAGTCTGTGTTTCTCAAATGCATGGTGTTCCTCAGGTGGAGAGTGGGCAGAAGTTTTTGCAACATTTTTTTTTAAGTTATTGGGTGCAAAATCCCAGACCAGGATATGTGTATGTCTGTGTATTTATGTTTTTTCTTATTTGACCCTCCCCTCTTTCAACCTTCCCCCTTTTATATCTAATGTAGAAAAAGCGAAACTGAATCTGGAAAGCAAATTGTTGTATATAATTGCGGTAACAATCATGAAGAGAGAGCTGGGCTGTCCCCTTAGTAATTCATTTTAGATAACACATTATTTAAAAATAAAATTCATGCCAGAGCCAGCTGAAGAGGCCTTCCTTCATCACCACTGAGGCCACCCCCATCTGGGCCCTCTGTCCTTCTGGCATGTCTCCTCCCAGCAAGATTCATCTGTTCAATGCCATTTGCGTTTCAATAAAGTTATCTCCTGTATTGTCCACTGGTTCTCTAGCTCCCTCTCTGCCTGGTTTCTGTCTCCATTTATCTTGTGGCCCATTCCTTGATTGGCAAGGCGAGACTGCTTGTGGTCATTTGCCTAAACCAGAAGTAACCGGAAATCCTAAGCTAGAGTCTCCTGACTCCCTTGGTTGGGGGTGGGAGGAACCCCTGCTCACACATTATGGACATAGAATCCTTCACCAGAACTGAAAACATCCAGCCCAAACGTCAAGGCTCTGGAGTCCTCCATCTGGGTTGCTGCACTGTTTGAAAACATACCACCCTCTGGACTTTGCTAAATGTTCTTCTTGGGGTAAAAGTGAACTGACCTATTAGAAGCTGTTGTAATCAAGTTCAGCTTCTCTTGGCCACTTCAAGAAGGTAAATAAGTCTTACTATTCCCCATCGCAGAAGTGAAGGGTCCAAGAAGCAATCTTTTCCCTATGAAACTGTAGTAACATAACTCATCTGTGCCCTCTTAACATGGGAGGTGAGAAGTGTGTTGAGAACTCTCTTCAAGCCAGTTGCAGTGGGTGTACCTGTAGTTCTAGCTACTCTGGAGGCTGAGGTGGGAAGATCACCTATCCAGCCTGGGCAACAAAGCAAGACACCCCCCCCCCCCCCGCAACTCAAAAACAAATAAATAAATAAATAAATAATTGAGAAAGCCTTCTGAAATAATCTGATGAGATGACTTAATCCCTGATTGTTACCAGTCTAGCATTCACAGTCTTGGAAGTGACCTAGGAATTGGTAACTGGTTTCCTTTGCCACGTGAGAATGAATTCACTTGATAAGCGTTCCTGGGAACCATTTTGAAGGCACATAACCTGAACAGCTCACTAAAAGATACCTGTTCCTGTTTGCTCTAGACCCTCCCATTCCAAAGACATTCTATCCTTTCTGTCACTACATGCTTGCCACTCTGCCCTGAATTTTTTTTTTTAATTTTAATTTTTTTAATAGAGTCTTTATACACTTGCCCAGACAGGAATGCAGTAGCTATTCACAGGCGTGATGACAACACACTCACACTATAGCCTGGAACTCCTGGGCTCAAGTGATCCTCCTGCCTTGGCTTACATCTTGCTTTTTTTTTCTTTTTTCTGTGACAAGATGTCACTCTGTTGCCCAGGCTGGAGTGCAGTGGCACAATCACTGCTCACTGCAGCCTCCTCCTCCTGGGCTCAAGTGATCTTCCCAACTCCACCTCCCGAATAGCCGGGACTATAGGGCTCACGCCACAACGCCTGGGCAATTTTTGTATTTTTTGTAGAGACGCAGTCTCGCTATATTTCCCAGGCTGTTCTCGAACTCCTGGGCTCAAGCAATCCTCCTGCCTCGGCCTCCCAAAGTGCTAGGATTAGAGGCGTGAGCCACAGCGCCTGGCCACATCCCGCATTTTTAACGCCTCTCTGGAGGCTCATCCTATCCTCTCCACCTGCTCCACTATTTAGGAGCGGCTCTGCAACGTGAGCCGTTTCCTACGACCAGCCGCTGACAACCGTATCATCAAACTGCTCTTGTTCTCGCACGCTTAAATGTCCAGCCATAACTTCTCAGGGGAAAAAAAATGTATACATTTTCAACAAATAGGATTCATTCTCACATAGTCACATACAGCACTCACTCTGGAGGAAACTCCCTTTCACATGCCGGTGTCTCCCCTGCCCAGCCACTTCCCAGCTTTTTTTTTTTTTTTTTTTTTTTTGAGACGGAGTCTCGCTCTGTGGCCCAGGCTGGAGTGCAGTGGCCGGATCTCAGCTCACTGCAAGCTCCACCTCCCGGGTTCACGCCATTCTCCTGCCTCAGCCTCCCAGTAGCTAGGACTACAGGCGCCCGCCACCTCGCCCGGCTAGTTTTTTGTATTTTTTTTTAGTAGAGACGGGGTTTCACTGTGTTAGCCAGGATGGTCTCGATCTGCTGACCTCGTGATCCGCCCGTCTCGGCCTCCCAAAGTGCTGGGATTACAGGCTTGAGCCACCGCGCCCGGCCACACTTCCCAGCTTTGAGGTTGGGCTCATCTACGCTGGAAAACCAAGGGACTGGGCTGTTGTTTTCCCACTTCCACTTCCTAGTTTGCTTTAGTTTATTTTCACCCCTGTTTGGATTCCTGAGGCTAAGATGAAGAGAGTCACTTGAGCCAACTTTTTTTCAGTGTTTGGAGGGAAAAGATTGCGGTTTAAAATAGGAGCTATTTGTGACCCAGACCCCTCTCCTTAAAGCCCTCTACATCCATTCCCATCCCGCCTCCTCTCTCCTAATACCTGAAAGATGCATGAATATAAAGTCATATATCATGAACTTTATTCCAAATGAGATTTCTAACTTACTGTGCAACTTTAGGAAAGCCCCTTAACCTGTCTGGGGCTCAGTTTTCACGTAAATCCAGTGATCCTTGCAGAGAAAGGTGCAGTTCTCGTTCAGGCAGCAGGAGGCGCTGTCTCTGGAGGCTTAGATTCATTCCCCGCCCTCCGCCCGCTCCCGCCCGCCTCTGGTGCGCAGGCGCGGCTTCGCGGATTGGCCGCGTGCAGGGGCCGTCATTCGGTGGCGGGTCCCGGCCGCGGGGCTGGCGGGCTGAGGGGAGAAAAGATGGCGGCGGCGGCGGCAGCTGGTGCGGCCTCCGGGCTGCCGGGTCCAGTGGCACAAGGATTGAAGGAGGCGTTAGTGGATACGCTCACCGGGATCCTATCCCCAGTACAGGAGGTGCGGGCGGCTGCTGAAGAACAGATTAAGGTGCTGGAGGTGACGGAGGGTGAGTGAGGCGGGACAGTCACGAGGATGGCTCAGCCGCACAATCCGCTGACCGCGGCTCCGTACCGGCAGGGGACATGGGGAGCCTGAGCCAGTTGGAGATCTGGGCGCCGAAAAGTGGAGCAGGAAGCGAGAGGTTGATGTCGCTGATGGTTGTGAAAGTCCCAGAGAGGAGAGGCGCGCCTGAAGGATAGGGTCGGGGGAGGTGGAGCCTGGGAGTGGGGGAGGGAGGGTGGGGACTTGAAAAGATAGATGGAGCCTAGTATCTGCAGGGAACGGAGATGGAGCTAGACTTGGTGCTGTTGGAGGAAGTAGTACGCTCGAGGAAATGTTTTCTGAGTCTAGGACCAAGGTATTTTGCTGTTCTCTTCACCAGCTCGATTGTACTGGGATAAGAGTAGGGGAAGCTATTAGTAGAAGTGGTGAAGGGTAGGGCCTCGAGAAGGCGGCTATCAAAGCTTAATGTCATCAAACAAGTTTCTGCCCTTGAGTTATAAACCTAGCTGGTTGGTTGTACTCTTCATGTTTTCCCAGAAATTAAATGCATATGCGACTGCTTCACTGTCCTGACCGTACTTCCGTTTATTTTAAAAATAATTTGCCCTTATTAAATACCTTTGTGCATTTCTATTTGGAGGAACTGATCCTCCTTTGTTTTTGATTCTTTGTCTCCATCCTCTATTGTGTGCTTTAAAGTGATGGAGAAGAAAATAAACTGTTGGTTCGAGATTTCCTATCAATTTCCTGCCGAGTGAGCCTTTCACCAGGTCCAGTGTAGCTGCCACAAAGAACAATTTAATCTGGAAACAGGAGGAAAAATCTTCTTGGTCTTTGTGTAAGAAATATATCTGGTCAGAGCTTCAGTGGAACTCCAAATCCTCAGAATCTCCCAACTCAGGAATATTTCCACCACCACTTAAATACCACGTCAGAGATATGGGAAATTGTCCCATCACTGACACCCATCATATTCAGAACCTTGAGTTAATTCTCCTACTGGACGTATTTTTATTGAAAAGAATTTAGAACAAATCGCTCTTAAATTTAGTTTACATTCTCTCACAGTATGAAAGAGCTGTTGAAAACAAATTTTCTTCTATTGGAAATATGTTGAGATTTGGGATCAACAGGCTAAGGACCATTTTGAAGGCCCAGTTGTAATTGTCATTGTTTTATAAAATATCAGATCTACAAGAGGAGAAACCACTGGTTAGGAGAAAGCTGTTTGAGAACCATGTGTAAACTAAAAGAGTTTTTATCGGCTTCTAAGTAACATTCCTTTATGCACATTAATGTCTGTCGTCTTTGAGTATGAGGAAGGAAGAGTGGCAAAGCGAAGGAACCTCATCACATTCAAGTTACCACCTGAATAAAACTGAGAGTCTGGTGCAAATTCATCCTAACTAAACCTTCCCTGAGTGGTACCCAGTACTCCCGGTGCTCCAAATACATGTCTGGCACCTTTGTGTGAAAGGTGGACCTTGACTCGTATTTAAACTGTCTTACAGCAACTCCACTTTTGCTCTGATCTTTTCAACTTTAGCCAAATGCCATGGTCTCATCTAGGCAAAGTCAGTTATAAAGTTCTCGAGGTCTTTTTTGAAACTCTGATTCCTCGCTGTATTCATCTTTTTTTTTCCTTGAGACTGGGTCTTACTCTATCGTGTAGACTTTGGTGCAGTGATGCCATCATGGCTCACTGCAGCCTCAAACTTCTGGACTCAAGCGATCCTCCCACCTAGGCCTCCCAAAGTGCTGGGATTACAGGCCTGAGCCACCACACCTGGCTTTTTTTTTTGAGCCTTTAAGGGAAAAATTAAATTTCAAAAGTACAGAATTTTGATCTAAGTCACTGATGAGAATTGATCGACCGACCCCCATAACTTACTGGTAATGTGTTGTTGGGCAGACTGTGAGAATGAAAAGTATGGAAAGACATTGATGCAGTGACCTGATATTGGTCGTCTAGTAATAAAGCATATGACTCAGGGTTTGGATGTGGTTAGAGGGTTGGATCAGTCTCTGGAGTTTAGTGCAGTGCTTTGGACCCTTTGGAGGCTGCTTGTGTCTTTTAAGTAGTCTGACTCCTTATGTTTATCAAAAATACTATATAGAGATTTACCCACTTCTGTACCTGTTTTTAGGTGGAGAATAGTGGTCCATTCCTCAGATGCAGTCTGCTTTCTTCCTCTTGTGGCCTTTAACAAGTTACCTTTGACATTGGGTTCAGAGTACCTCCCACCTTACACTCTGAATCTCTCAGGTTTTTTCTGAACATGGTGCAATATAGTAGCTTCTTGTTCACCACCCTCAACCCTTCTTTGCATGAAAACATAGCACCCAGCTTTCCAGCCGGGATGTAGCCAACTATCTGGGCTGATGAAATTGGCAGGACATTGTTCCTCGTATTAGAATGCCCTACAGAGCAAGATGAGCCATTCTTGCAAACAAATGGACAAACTACTTTCCACTCCTTTGGTGTTGCTTCACATTTTAGTGTTTTTTGGTTTTGTTGTTGTTATTGTTTTGAGACGGAGTTTCACTCTGTCACCCAGGCTGGAGTGCAGTGGTGCAACCTCAGCTTACCACAACCTCCACCTCCTGGGTTCAAGCGATTCTCCTGCCTTAGCCTCCCAAGTAGCTGGGATTACAGGCGCTTGCCACCACGCTTGGCTGATTTTTGTATTTTTAGTAGAGACGAGGTTTCACCATGTTGGCCAGGCTCTCTCGAACTCCTGACCTCAGGTGATCCACCTGCCTCAGCCTCCCAAAGTGCTGGGATTACATCCGTGAGCCACTGTACCCAGCCCACATTTTAGTTTTATCCTAGTAGAAGGAACCTTTTTTCCGGTTCTAGGAAACAACTTTTTTTTTCCTTTGAGACAGAGTTTCACTCTGTGGCCCAGGCTGGAGTGCCGTGGCATGATCTCTGCTCACTGTAACCTCTACCTCCCAGGGTCAAGCGATTCTCATGCCTCAGCCTCCCAAGTAGCTGGGATTACAGGCATGCACTACCATGCCTAGCTAATTTTTGTATTTTTAGTAGAGGCAGGGTTTAGCCTTGTTGCCCAGGCTGGTCTTGAACTCCTGAGCTCAAGCAGTCTGCCCACCTCGGCCTCCCAAAGTGCTGAGATTACAGGCATGAACCAACCTGCCAGGCCGGAAACCCTCTTAAAACTTGAAGTTAATGAGAAATGTGGGATTTGGTGTCTTTTGTGTTCTGGTAATCTTTTGATCCTTTTTTGGTTCCACGGGGCCCAGGATCAGGTGACAACCAGATCTAGTCCCTCCGTCTTCTCAAATAACCGCACTGTCTTTATGAGCTGTTTATTAGTCCATCACATAGGAGACTGATCCCACATGGTCCTTAAGATTAACAGGTCTGTTCCCTTTGCCAAAAAGATTTGTTACCTTCCTTGGCTACTAGGTGATGATCCCTAGTCTTGAAGATTAAACGGAAGAATCTCTAATTTGTGGGGAAGGGGCACAGGTCAATTGTCAACTCCCTGTTAAAAGGACAGGCAAGAGAAGTTGACATGCTGTGACCAAATTGTACTATGGATGAGATTTTAAGAAGCAGTTATCTTAGAAAATAAAGGTTGCTGGAGCCTAGAGTAGTCTTGATCATTTAGTGTACCAGCTGATATTTTCTGATAAATAAATTGCCTATAATTAATTATCACATTTTCCAGAATGGGCACCTGTTCTCTTAAGCCAAGGATGTGTGTGTATGTGAGAGATCCACTTGATTCATGTAGTGTGTCAATCTGAAAAGGATAAGAGGTAACTTCATCAGCCTGGTGTCCTGGAATGAATTTTTTTTTTTTTTTTTGAGATGGAGTCTCGCTCTGTCACCCAGGCTGGAGTGCATTGGCACGATCTCAGCTCACTGAAACCTCCAGCTCCTAGGTTCAAGTGATTCTCCTGCCTAAGCCTCCCAAGTAGCTGAGATTATAGGCATGTACCACCATGCCAGGCTAATTTTTGTATTTTTAGTAGAGATGGACTTTTGCTATGTTAGCCAGGCTGGTCTCGAACTCCTGACCTCAGGTGATCCACCCACCTTGCCCTCCCAAAGTGCTAGAATTACAGGCGTGAGCCACTGTGCCTTTCCAGAATGATTTTCTTGAGCCCCTGTGCTTGCTATTTTTGCTAGTCACTTGGAATCTGGAAGAAACCCAGCAAACTTCTGTGAATATTTAAAGTCTATTTAACAGGGCTGATTAGATAAGGAGATGATGTCAGTAACCACCTTCATCAGATAGCACTGCCATCCTGAATTGAGGAGAACTTTGCTTGAAAGTTTGGAAGTTATTATGATGTACAGTATTCTGCAGGTAATTGTTAACCTATCATTTTTATTTTTTTCTTTCTTTCTTTCTTTTTTTTTTTTTTTTAAGATACAGAGTTTTGCTTTGTCACCCAGGCTACAGTGCAGTGGTGTGATCATAGTTTACTGTAGAATCTAACTCCTGAGCTCACACAATCCTCCTACCTCAGCCTCCCAAGTGGCTGTGACTACAAGCACATGCCCATACCTGGCTGATTTTTTAAATTTTTGTCTGGAGATGGGGTTCTTGCTGTGTTGACCAGGCTGGTCTTGAACTCCTGCCCTCAAGTGATCCTCCCAAAGTGCTGTGATTATAGGCATGAGCAACCACAACTGGCCCTTTCATTTTTCTTAGGAGGATTGAGATGTTGAGTTTGATCAGGTTTGTAGGAAATTTACTTCTACCTAAATATGGTAAAACATTTTTTTAAAAAAGTTTTTTTATTCGTTAGAGACTTTTTTCTTTTTTCTTTTTTTTTGTTCCACTGCTAAGAGTCTAAAGCATGCTTTCTAATTCTGTTTTGTTTAATAGGAAGGTTCATATTAAGCACTTTACGAACATAGTAGTTAAAAAGACTGGAGAGGTTATGAACCACCGAAGACCTCTTAGGTCAAAGTCTCATATTCTGTACTCAGCTTCATCAACTCTTTCTTTTGTTTTTGTCTGACTT